ATATTGGTATACACCGCTCACAAACACCTGATAGTAGCTAGGCAAGATAGCCAAAAGGCCCTAGACTCTCTCAGTGACTACCTCGCTTCTTTACACATCGAAATCAATCCAAACAAAAGTCAATCACTAATAATATCAAGAAAAAGGAAACAACACTAGATTACCAGCAATTAGAAATCAAGAGAGTCTACTTGTCGAATCTATGGGCATCTACTGGGCATTTGTAATAGACGACAAACTGAAGTTTAATACTCATATCAAGAATGTACAAAGACAATGTCAAGTCAAACTGACCTAAATGTAACTAAGCGAGAGTATGTGGTTGTAAAGGCACTCACCCAGACTTTGCTGTTGATGTTTACAAAGGACTCATCAGACCTAAAATAGACTACGACTACGGCTGCTTTTTATTTGGCTCTGCCTCCAAGTTAATCAATGTATTGGAAGTTAAACAAAATCGGGCTATAAGAATAGCTATGGGTGCTTTTAAACCCACACCAATAAACTGCCTTACTGGCAGAGATAGCTATAAAACCACTTAACATTAGAAGAAAGATTCTTACGGATAGGTTAACATACGAGGTTATTAGCTCTAAATACCATGCAGCCTATCAAGATTTAATTTAATGAGGCTCCAAGATTTAACGAGGATCGTCCATGGGCCTCCTTTTCGGGATAAGAAATTCTTGACAGCCCTTAAGCGTGAAGACTCCAACCCAACCCTTCTCACAACTTTCCCATCAAGGCGCCTTAGAATCCTACTAAATCCCATCAATTAACAGGACACAACAAAAAACAAAAACCAAAATGAAATAAGCCACCAAACTAAAACAAAACCCTCAACAATACTAACAAAAACCAACCAAATACCACAGAAACCTCAGAATTGTCAAATTAATTAGTGCACAATGAGGCTGCATATAATATAAGCCTGCTTTCGAGCAAACGAGATAAAAAAAGACTCCTCCCATGAACCAAGAGGACTGTGGTGCTTGCCTACGCCTTCAGTATAAATAATGGGTAATTGTATGTATATACAGCATATACTTTTGACTTCAACTTGCATCTTGAGCATCCTTCCAGAGAGGAGACAACTTTTGTAAATCTGCTGTGGGGCTTCGGGCTCTACATCACTTCAAGGCTTCCCACACGAGGTTCAGCTTGTCTGGATGCGACAGCTACCAACTTCAATACCTGGGACTATGATGTGAAGGTGACTGAATCGGCGGTGGCGGACCACGACTGTGCAGTAATCCAAGGTAAAGACAGACCAGGTAACATGCAATAGTGTTGTTGATAGCTACGTAGTACATAAGAGATCTGTAGATAAAGATAATTTACCTTTGCTTAGAAACAAACTTTCAAATGTAAATTGGGACAGCTTTAAGTCAGTGTCAGATCCAATTTCAGGTTTCCATAACTGTTCTATGCTGTTTCAAGAAAAATTTGATATAGTTTATCCTATCAAGTTGTTCAAATGTAGGGCTGATACAGTAAAACCTGTGATGAGGGACAAATCCTGGTACACCCATGATCTGAAAAGATTGCGATCCTTTATGACCTTTGCTCATGACCACTACAAACTTGCCCTTGACGCTAACTCTAAAGAGAGGTACTTCTTGCTTTACAAGAAAATAAAAAGTGTTTATAGTTCTAGAGTTAAGATAGCGAAAAAATCCAGCAATGTTAATAAGATAGCTGCTGCTCCCAACACTTGCAAAGCAGCATGGGAGCTGGTCAAGTGCAGAAAACCCACCCCTGGACCCAAGGTAACAGTGTCCCCTGATACTTTTAATGATTTTTTTGTGAAGGTAGCGGATGACATCAAGTCTAACCTCCCTACCCTGAAGCAAAGAGGGAAAGTGGATGTACCAATAAACCTCGCAGGAAATAACACACTAACAACTTGGACTGAGGTGAGTGAAAACTATATCCTAGCGTTAGTGAAAGGTTTTAGGGACTCCGACAGTCAGGGCATCAATGGTCTGTCATGCTCTATTCTAAAGGGCACAGTTGATAAGATAATCTTGCCACTGACTAAACTTGTAAACCTCTGTCTGACTAAGGGAATTTTTCCGGATAGCCTAAAGATAGCTAGGACTATCCCCATTTACAAGAAGGGCAATCCTTCCGACCCAGCAAATTAAAGACCCATCTCTATCCTGCCAGTCTTCTCCAAGGTGCTGGAGACCATAATGAAGAGACAATTTTTGGCATATTTTGAAAGCAACCAACTATTTTCAAATGCTCAGCATGGTTTTAGGAGTGGGCGCTCATCATCTTCTGCTCTCTTGAATCTTGTAAGTGCCATTACAGATGCTTTAGAGGAAAACTATTCGGCTCTTTTGAGGCTCTGCGACCTGAGCAAGGCCTTTGATGTGGTTTCACACAACATACTGTTGGCCAAGCTTAAGAGGTATGGTATCGGAGGCACAGTTTTGAACACCCTAAGTAGCTACTTGGCAGATCGAAAGCAGCTCGTGTCTTTGAATGAAACCTCTTCAAGGGTGCAGATTATTCCCCACGGGGTGCCCCAAGGATTGGTGGTCGGACCCCTGTTGTTCAGCATAATGATCAACGATCTGGACAAACCTTATTGTTTGCTGACGACACCACCTTGTTCAATAGGGGGAAGAACATTGAGCGATTGAGGGCAGGAGACAACCTGCTAGAAATGGCTAAGGATTGGTTTATAACAAACCGCTTCAAAATCAATGAGGCGAAAACCCAATCCCTAATCTGCACTCTGCGATCGAGGATAGAGCAGGACGATGCTGTAAAGCTATGAGGTTTCTGGATTGACCCTAGGTTAGGCTGGAACATTCGCACAGACAAGGTTTGCGTCAAGTTGTCAAGAGTACTCTACCTTCTCAGGAAGCTTAGAGATTTTATTACTAAGAACTACTTGATTACAATCTACCATTCCTTGTTCCATAGCCATATACTGTATGGAATAGTACTCTGGGGCCAATCTCCTTCTGCCCAGGATATACTATTGCTGCAAAAGAAAGCCTTGCGAGTCATAACATCCTCCGGCCCAAGAGAACACTGCCGACCCCTTTTCAAAGAATTGGGTATCCTCACCGTTGTTAGCCAGTATGTCCTGAACAGCCTATTACTGTTAAAAAGAGAACAAACTGTAACTGTAAAAAATTCAAACCTAAATAAAATTGTCTCCCAAACAAACAACCTAAAGGAAATTGTTTCACAAATAAGCAAATAAAAATCTGAATGAAATGAACAAACCTATTGAATCCAAATCTGAATAAATTTTTGGTTTGTAATGTTTATGTTAACATGCAACAACAGGTTTATACTCACTTTCATTGTGTTCATTATTTGCAAACATTTTACTTATAAACAATTAGTCTGTCATTCTAACACTTAACAACACATTTTACGTTAGGTTAAATACAAGTGTTGAACGACAATTGTAAACTTGCACCAACAGGTTTATAGGTTAAATTAAGTCGATGTATCAATAGTCAGATGGAATGAAGAATAAACTGACGTATAAACAGATGATCGTAGTTGTAGAATCTTTAAGTGTTGTCAACTGGTTTTAAGCATAGGCCTACACGTATTACTTGCCTAATAAAATCACACTTTTTGTGTTGTTTGGTAGAAATACTGGAGTGCTACAAAGTAAGTAAATGCAGGAATTAGCTACTTTGTGTTCTATAATCAGTACAAGAAAGCCTGCTTTGTCAGGTAACTGTAGGCAAAATATTTTTCATCTACCAATATGCTTTTATCTCTTTGACACGATATTTACAACACAGATGTCATCAAGTACAACAAAAAAAAACTGTAGTGATAGGTTAACTCAGATTAGTTGGAGGTGCGTCAAACTGTGGTGTATTGGGGCTGGAACGCATGGAAAAATCGTTCCCACTCTGGTCTTTCCAAACTTCTATCTAACTTTTGATAGGCGACCCCTGTTTTTTTTAAACGATGGTGTGTTTCCACAGTGAAAAACCTTTGACTACACCACTTGCGAAAAATTATGAATCCATGGTAGTGATGGTGCCACTAATATTTATAAGTATAGTTCATTTTCGTTCCGTATCAGCTCAACTCTTGTTTAACTTCATAGGCCAGAGCCCGAGTGGATGGACAGATAATGTATTAATTGTGTTGATTTGGATGCACAATTACAGGTAAATGTCTTTTCCCAAACCCATTGTACATCCTTATTCTCCCTAATATTTTAAGGTTCTTGATTATAGAAACTGCACTAGCAAAAAGTTTCAGTCAACACTTATTAACTTCATTCAGGGTGGCGGTCCAAGCCTTTGGAGGATATTGAATTACTATTGAAACCCTCAATAGATTTAAATTTGTCCTGAAATACTGTTAAAAGTGTCCAAAACTAACTTGTCAAGTGGTACATAACTAATTTAGAAAGGACATTACTACATTAGACATTAGGTCACAAAAGATATTGGTAATAGCTATGAAAAATCTTTGTATCAATGTTTAAAATATATTCTGAAAGTTTTGTTTCTCTACATACACCAACACATAATTGTATCCTCCGACAATTCCTGTGACTGATGCCTCAACCAAAAATTGACCTTACATACTTAAAGAACTTCCACTTTTTTCCACTGTAAATTCAAGTAGTAAATCGTAAAATTTTGTTTTTATTTTTAAATCTTCAACAAAAAACATCTTCCAAAATTATTCTAAGAGTAATTTTACGTTGGTCTTTGTAACATTCTTAAATTAAGAAGCTTAACTGTTACATCTTTTCTAATTGGGGGAGCAAATAATAACAAGTTAATTTTTTTGACGAGAACTGGCTTGCAGTAGCCCAATGCTGACAGGCCGAGCTTGAACAGACACCACCCAAGACTGATCACTGTAGCTGTAGGCATACATCAACCAAACCACAATGGTAGGGAAACCCATGATGGATCTAACCCCATGATTTAGTCAATGATTTAGTTTTAAAATTTTACAATAAATAAGGCATTAAGGATTCAAGAAGAAAACTGTTCAGTTTAACTATTTAAATTTATTTAATAAACAACATAGAATGGAAACCGCTTTGGAACTAAATATAGTTATCATATTTACAGTGGCGGAAAACGCTCAAGCTTACAACTTAGATCCTACATTCACAACTTATGCTTGTTTCGGTGTACGTGATGAACACAAAGTACATATTTGAAAAAGACAAAACAAAGGAAACTATCAAATAATTTAGCTACGTAATTATTAGCCTCTTAAAGTAGGCCTAGTATTAAATTAAATTTTGATTTGTTTTAACAACATCCACAAATTTCCACGCTTAAATATGTCGTAAACATAGAGAACTGAGAGGTAACATGTAGGAATCTGTCCCAGTCAGTGAAAACAATTACATTATAATAACAAGACGTTGGCGTGTGCACCAACATATCCATTAATATTGAATGCACATTAAGAGTAAGAAAGGTTATGCAGTTTTTTTCTTAAAACTTACACAAAATTAAGAGATTTATTAAAAAAAAAACTATTTGTATCTAAATCTTTTTAGATACTGTCGAGTATCTTTGGAAATCGACAAATTAACTGTATGTTTTTAACTAAGAAATATATATTAAATTTTTCTTCTAAAGCATAATGTAACAAACAGTAGTCTGGAAACCCTTTTGGAATTGAATCTCAACTCTACCTAAAAACCTAACACTAGTTTTATAAGTTAACAGAAAGCAGCATATAATAAACTATTTAGTGAAAATGTAAAATAAACTATACTCAAACAAACTGCCGACCAAGACACTTGGCATAGCTTGGAAAAAAGTTATCTGAACAAAAAGTGCTGCTGCTTAAGAAGTAAAGTGAATTAGTTTGTAACTTACTGGAAATTTACACCTTATTAGGGTTTAGCATAAAGATCAAACAATCATGAGTCCAACATTAGATTGGGCCCAAAATGTCACACTGCCGTACATAAAAACAAACTTTATACAATACTTAAGTCCAGAAAGGATAATCACAAAAAAGGCACAATGCAATCACTTTTTGGCCAATTCATTAGACAACCAGTCGAGACCCTCGTATAATCCATGGCCCTGCGTAGCACAAGTAGCTTGGATATACCACTGGAAACAAAACATGCTAGATTAATAATTTTAAAAACAAATTTTTACAAACTTATTTTAGCATAGGCCTAATTAAGTTCAAGGATGGTTTTTTAAAGTGGGAGTCAGAATCTAACAACACAAAAACTACAGAAATCACCCCTTTACCCCCTTCAAAGTGCATTATCAAATTCATTTTATGACATAAATAATAAAATCTTATCATATGTGTGATTATATGAATGTCATCATAGAATATCAAGTCAAGAAAAATCATTTATTTATTAAATCAGAAATAGAGCAAGTTTTTAAGGTGCAACAAAAGTTTCTAGTAGGCCTACATAAAAGGATTAGGAAACAAGAAACTATGTTAATAATAAATGTCACCACATTTTCTTATCTTCAAAAGGCAACATTTTCTGAAAGTTAACCCTTCCCGGACGGGCGAAATCGTGACATTGAGCGGGAAAAAATTATAGGATAAAATAAAAATTAATTTTCCTTATTTCTGTTTTGCTATACATAAAATAAACACAATGGAACACCCCATACTGTCAAAATAATTTTTTGATGACAAGGGCAATTCTGGTAGTGGACAAATTGAACAACACAGTACTGTAAGCGTACGACTTGTTTGCGAGCCGGGTGCGCGGGGGGAGAGCGGTACCAATCTCCCACCACGCAGCCAAGTTTCCGTAGCAGTGGTCGGACTACGCTTTCTAAATCATTCGACCAGCGCTGTTCGCGTATTCCTTTTTTGCGTACACATTTTTAGAATTTAAATTTGAATTTAATTCAAATACCATACAATGTTCTATACTAAGGGTTCTATATTATTGTTTTGGTACTGTAGTAGAGTATTTTATTTTGATAGGCCTATAACTATTTTTTTTACTTATTTAAATGTACACCAAACGGTAAAATCATATTAGGCCTATATTCCAATTTAATTGTAAAGTTTGACTTTTTACGTGTAAATTATTAACTCTTATAGTTAGAGTTTATAGGCGATATCTTAAGATATAGTATTTTATGTAAAACCACATGCGCAGATATACCTATATACACAGAAAACCATAAGGCTTAGTACATATCATTATGGAAACTTTTGCTTATTTTAATATTATCTACAATAAATAACACCTTAAAATATCGGACGGGTTTTCCGAACACCCTTTAAAACGGTTAATGGCTTGCAGTTATTTATTTTATATCCTTAAGTTGATAAAACGAAAGGTGGTCTCTGTCGTACGTAAAGTATTTTATGACACTATTTTATGGCTGGAAGAGTATTTTATTTTATCATGTTCTATCGACTGTCAGTTTATTGGACTGTAGCGGTTGAGTAATTATTGAGTGATTGTTAAGCTGTGGGTTAAAAAAGTGTCAGGCTAGGCTAACATAGATTAATATCATGGCAACCGCCCGTAAAAAAGGGCAAACCATTCACAGAGAAGCGATGGAAATATTATAAGACCAACAGGAGCCGTGTGTTAGTGTTACGTATCCGCTAGGAGTAGAAGTAGTATAGACAACATTTTTAGGGCGACTAGTAGCAGATCGCCAAGCGCCCGGCTGTGGTGGGGGCCCCTCCTGGCTAAGGAGGCGGTGGAGGGGCCACGCGCAAACAAGTCGTGCGCTTACAGTATCTGATAATGCATGCGGCTTTGAGGTCAGGGCGCATTAGGATTGCATTCATGCACAGAGGTAGGCCTTTCAATTAACCCCTCAAAGGTCATCAGGAGGCCCCCTTCATCGGAGGCGGGACCTGAACAATATTGTACCTTTGCTTGCACTGCAACATCAGGTGAAATACCCAGTGGTGTACTGTACTGAAAGCTTCAATAGGGACAACGACTCCAAAAGGTCATTGACTGAGGTGGACCACAGACTAGGTCTACTCTGATTCAATCATTCAATCAATCAAGCTCCTTGAAAATGCCAATGGTATAGACAATGACAAAAAAATTGTAATTATCTCCCATGGTCATACACCATCATGGCTAAATCCTAAAAATCTCCCGTGGTTGTGTATACGTCATCATCGTCTCCTACGAACGAAGCAAAATCCTGAATATCACCCGTGATCATGTACTCATCGTCATCGTTTTCCGCATTCACAGCAAAATTCTGAATACCCTCGTGGTAACAGAAATATCATTGTTGTTCACAGCAAATTCCTGATTACCTCCTCGGTCTTATTAGACATCAATATCGTCTTCCGCAATCGCGGCAAAATCCAGAACACTTCCCGCAGTTGTATGGATATCATCATTATTTAATCACACATCGAATTTCCAAAATAAATTTTGATTATCTACAAAAATCATTCAAGGGCCGCTAAAATTAAAGCTACAATAATTTTTAATTTTTAACAGCAGTTGGGGGAATGGAGAGATGGTTCACTGAAGGATGTCAAACCACGGGTTGCCTCAGATTAACTCTAATTTGTGATAATTAGTATACAGTTTGTTAAAATTTGGATATTCATAATGTTTGTCTCCCAAAACAAGAACATTTCACTAGGATTACTAAGAGAGATGAAGGAAGAGGACAACAATAAACTTTAGCATTTTCTATCTTCTTTCTTGTTGATGAATAGTTCAAATTAAGTAACTTACATGGGTGTCCCATTGGTAGGTCATGGGAGCAAATATTAACTATGGTTGGGAAGAGATCAAATATTGAATCATGTTTTTGAATCAGCACCATAAAATTGCGTAGTTATTCACTACCTGAACAATCGTATCAGCAGCAGAATAGGCCTAGAATGACCTAGCACAGAGTGGGTGGCAAAGCTCAGGACTTTAAATTGTATTCGGCAAATCCTCAATTAATATGTTTCATGTTTTTAGCTTAAAACTAATTATGTTCATTACCTGAATGTTCAGGCAAATTGTTTTCAGTTGGGATTTTTAATATTTGAATTTAGAGATATTTTTGGAGACGGAATCTTGCACTAATAGGCTACTGTGATCGCATAATAAAGTTATCAACATTTAGACATGTCTCTTATAAATAGTAATCTTAAGCTTCACATGCCTCAATAATTTAAAGTTTATGAAATATTGTGAGGTTTTCTTAGTTAAATATTGTGTCTTCAATTACACAATCTTCACAATTATAATTTAGAGGTGTATCTTTCAGTAACATTTTATAGGCTATATGATAGTATTACTGATAATAAAATGATAATAATGATGTTTATTGATATTTTTAAATATTTGGGTTAGGAGAAAAAAAACCACTATGTAGGTAGGTCTCCAGACCGAAAGTTTGGGCATCACTGACTTAAAGGATAAAATGCAATATGTTGAAACAATTTTAACAGTTAAACAAGTTGAAGTGAAAACAAAAGTACCTTTTGTGTTTTTTTATGTTTTTAAATCATTGGTTAGCCTATATGGTACTCAATTTTCTGAAAATATTTCAGAATGAGCCGTGATACAGGGTCGTCGTGTGGTTTATTGGCCGGGTGTTGCCAGACGCCCTTCCCCAAACACATAATGAGTGATGCTCGTTATACAAAGTTGCGTGGAGGGTTGCGTCACTATTTGCATTTTACCTTGAAAAATACTAGAGTTAGGAATCAGGGATTAAATTACTTAAATTGTCAATGAAATCTTTTTTAATTGATGATAATCAAATCCATACAATTGGTGTTAGAACATAAAAGTAGTATACAAGCGAATCCAGCTCCATTTTCATAAAATATTTAATTTGGGAAAAGGTTGCAAATATATAAAGTGATTAGTATCAAATAATATGCATTTGTTCAATAAATACTTACAACGTAATATTTAAAATTCAGTTATACACAACTTTCTAAAATACGTTATGTACATCTAACCTAATTTTTTTTCCAATTTTGTTGTATTACTTTTGACATGGAACCCGTGGCGCGCCCCTGTCGCCCCGCCCACAGGACGGCCCTGCCGTGATATTTTCTTAAAATGATGGCACAAAATTAGTTTTATTTATGAGTTTTTTTTATTTGTTATTTATGAGTCAGCTACTGGAATATTAATAATTTATTATCTTTTTAGGCAAAACACATTCAAAACTCATTGCTTATACAGACATTATCCAAATATATTATTGAAATTAAGTGTGTAAACCGTTGGTTTATTTATCTCATACTAATTTATGTTTTTTTTTACAGTCCGTACTACTTTGGAAAATTATTTTATGACTATGCTCTAACCTAAAGAGGGCTTTATATGGTTATATCCTCTTTTGGTAAAATTAAAAATAACGTTCAACCTTTCACATGTAATTTTTGTAATTCTAACTAGCCTATTAGGTTTAGTTACTAAATAATATTTAACTATTTGACTGCTGAAAAGGCCTAGGTCTTTGGTAGGCCGTATTACATTTTTTAAGTTCTAAATATCAAATTTTACAGTGATTACATCTTACAAGTTAATTTGAATAATATTCTCTAAGAAATCTTCAATGTAGTTTTAACTAAACCAACGATTTACAAATTGTATTAATATTCCAATAATAGTGCTGATGACGTTAAACTAACTAAACGCTAGGTATATAATATTAAGGATTATAGGATTATAATTTTAAGTAAAGGTGAATTTGAAGGATGGCCGCTTTTGCTTATGTATTATTTTACTATCTAGCCTATAAAACATTTCTAGTAGGCCTACAGTTACACCATTGCAAACAATTTTTTTTAAAATTTAAACTGAAGAGAGATGTATTTCTTAGAAACTGAACTAGAAATGTCACTAGTTAGATGATACAGTCAATAGCAATAGGTGAACACTTATTAATAATAAGAGTCATTTATTCAAGAACAACTTTTGTTTAACTATCCATACCAAAGGATTTACTATGTTGTTTGATACTCATACCCTTCTAAGGGAAGTAATTCTAACCCCCTTCGTTTTATTGATATGCCTAGGATTCGACCTGTCTCTCTAGCACAAGGGACATCAAGGTTGAACCAATATTTGAAATATTTGAATTTACAGTCAAACAACTCACATGTCTGTTCCTGAGTTGGTTCAAGCCAAGCTTGTCCGTCAGTTCGGAAGCACTCATAGCGTTGGGCAGATCCTGCTTGTTGGCAAACACCAACAACACAGCGTCACGAAGCTCATCTTCTTGTAGCTGAACAATACAACACAATTACTGACTAATGTAGGCTAAAATTACTAAAACTGCCATTCATAAATCAGGTTTATCTCTTTTAAACTGAGGAAATGGATACAACCGACTGACTCAACCAGGTTTTAATGAATTTTCTAAGGGAAAGAAGTATAATAACAGATTGTCTAACATTAATACTATCTCTTGACAATGTAACCTAATGTTGTTTCATGGATCCAGTAATATTGTAGTACCGTACTCCTCAAATTCATTTGTAGAAGAAATTGCAGAAAGGGGATATGGAGCGGTGTTGGTGTAATGGTTACAAATTTAGGGAGGAGGTTGAGGCTAGATATTTAGTGGTCTAGGCTGACAAGAGGACTGGGTGTGCAAAGGTAATTTACAAACGACACTGACCATATTGGCTAACTCCTTCTCTGACTCAGCTATTCGATCTTTGTCACTAGAGTCAACCACGAAGATGAGGCCTTGTGTGTTCTGGAAGTAATGTCTCCAGAGAGGTCTGATCTTGTCCTGGCCTCCAACGTCCCACACCGTGAAGCAGATGTTCTTGTACTCCACTGTCTCCACGTTGAAACCTATACCGATAAACATAATGAAAACTGCTTATGAAGTTAAATATGTTTAGCAGGTCTACAATCCTTTATAATCCAGCCTATGTAGTTGTGAAGTTGTTGTAACTACTACACGACAGATTGGAAAAACCATACACATATTATTAAACCATACCGTACTGTTTTTTTTTATTCCATTAGAATTATATTCTGATAAGAGGGGTATTTAACGTAGGCCTATAGGCCTGCTATTTGTTTAGTGAGTCAGTAATATACAGGGTGGTGCAAAAAAAAGGAAACCCAAACGCTAAGAGCTATTTCATGAATATTGTACTGGTGTTCAGAGACATTTCCGCCCAGCAGTGCTCTTGGATGGCCAGCAAGATCATGGACCGAATGGAATATGTTGTTACTAACGTTGTTACTAATGTTAAGGACGACAGGTAGAACATGTTTTTGATTAGTTAATTCATTGTAAGCTTTGTTTTAGTAAACTATTAGGCCTAAACATTTATTTTTGGGTTTCCTTTTTTTGCACCACCTTGTGCTAATAAGTGAAGTCCTGAAGGCAAAATTATTTGATGCACTGATGATTTGATTCACTGACATTTTTCTTGTAGGCCTACACTTGCCTTTTCACAATTATGGCATACAGTGAGTGGCAAACTGGAAGCGTATGTTGAACATTTTATTTATTCAGGTTTACTGATGGTGAGTGAGGCTTTATAAAGTAAATATATGTAAATAACTTTTTAATCATATGTGTACAAAGCAACAAGTAGAAACAAAATAAAGAAATGTCTCACCAATAGTAGGAATGGTTGTGACTATTTCTCCGAGTTTCAATTTATACAAAATTGTAGTCTTTCCTGCAGCATCCAAACCAACTGAAAGCATAAAAACACAATTAATGAGAACATGCAAATAAAGACATGAAATATAGGCTTAATGCTTCACAAGTACTGTGAAGGATCTTTTTTGGGAAGATAAGGTTTTATTGTGATTTTGTACTATACTTGCTATTAGGTGTTCCAATATAAATCTCTACACCAACATTATAGTCCAATAAAAGGTATCAATCAATTTAAATTCTAAACTGATACATATTTTATAGTAGTTTACGCAACGATTGCGTTAAGTTAGTCTTTACGACACGAGTAGAAAATTCAAGGCACAGGCCTTGGCGAGTGCCTTAAAAACTTCTACGAGTGTCGTAAAGTCTAATAACGCGAGTTGAGTACACTACTTTACCTACGACCGTTTTTTAATTACTAACAAACTGGTTTTTAATTACTAATAATCACTACTCATAACTTCAGAGAGGTTATGTTTTCGTTTATTGTCATTGCTACTGAAAGTGATGCAACGACTTATTGTATAGGCCTAATCAGCTGATTTCATGTAATTACGTGTTTGTAAAAATGTGTTAAATAATAGGCCTACGTTACCTTTTCAGAGAATAGGTTCTACTAGCAGCATTCTTACCATAAATACTGTATTAGGTACAATTAGGGAAATAGTGCATATTTCTTGGACAACTAAATAATACTATGAAACAGTTAATTTACAGTTAGATCTCAACATCGAATATGTGGTCCATAATGAGTTGGGTGAAAAAGTGGTTAAGAGGTTTTCAAAACAAACCAGAAGCACTTTTTCATTTATCAATTCAACCTTATTTTGTTTTGTCCATTTAATGAATTGATGGTATGTAATTTCATACCTTTGTTTCAATTTAGGTGACAAAAAATTAGCACAAACAGTTTGTGCTCTCATTTCTATCTCATCAACTTCACTTTCACTAACTGACATTTTTAAATCAGTTTAGACTACCTTCCTTTAACTTCCACCAACTTAGGTTAAGAATACGTGAGTATCAACAGGAACAAGTCGGATCAACAACTAAAATTGTCAACTGATCAGCTGATAAGCTGATTAGTTGACATTCAAAGCATTACAATTTTACTTCTTTTCTCTCAATCCTTGAACCTCATTGGTCTGTTACCCGTGTTGTTATGAGAAAAACTATGCTGTTATGAAAGTAAACAGCTGTTAAGTGAATGACTTGAGTAGAAAATTTAAGGTATGAGCCTTGGCGAGTGCCTTAAAAACTTCTACGAGTGTCGTTAACACTATTTACGCGAGTTGCGTACACTACTTTACCTACGACGGTGTTTTAATTACTAAAAATCACTCCTCATAACTTCTAAGAGAGGTTATGTTTTTGTTTATAACCTCTAATTGACACTAACAGTGATGCAACGAAATATTGTATCAAATACTAATTGCACCAATCAACAATAAAATTGGCCTGAACAGCTGATTGGTTGAATTTCGAATCATTACAATTTTGCTTCTCCTCTCTCAATCCTTGAACCTAATTGGTCCGTTACCCGTGTTGTTATGAGTTAAACTATGCTGTTATGAAAGTAAACAATGCTGTTATGAGATACTTATCAATTCTAAGAACTATACTGAAACGGCTACTTTAAAAAACGGTCGTAGGTAAAAGATTTTTTGTAACCAAAATAAAAAATTATAATATTTAACACACCCAGTGATGCTGCTTGGTTAGTAAGTAAAAACAACTTTATCAATTCTGTAAACCCCTCATACAGGCAGTTTATATTTCTTATTTACAGGTAAATTACCGGTAACAAAACATTGCTGTTTTATTGTTAATTTATCTATAAGAGTATCATTCAATAATATGTCGTTTTTGATTGGTGGTTTATAAGCTGTAATATTTAGGAAAGACCTAGTAATAAATTGCAATTCGTATGCGTTAGTAGGAGAACCACGATAAACAAATAATTAGGAACATTTGTTTCATGTGTTTCACTGAAAATGTAATAAAAAAGTAGCAAACTCATATATTTAGTTTTCATCGAAGCTTTTGGATTATGAACATACATTAAATATTGTAAAATACTTTTGATCATCACAGTGATCATTCAGTGAAAAAGTTTTATCAGTAACTAGAAAGTAAGAAACAGCTAGTTCCTATGTGATAGCAAACATTGCTTATCAGAGTTAGATTGTAAACACATTTATCACTCACTACTTGCAACCAAACTATTTTAAAAAGCTTGAGAGACTGACTGGTTAGACAAAATAAACAATACCTTGAACACATGGTTGATTATACGATTGCTAATAATGTACACCTGAATATTTGTCTATTTTCTTCTTGACTATTTTCTTAACAGTTTGCTCTTCGTGGTAACAGTTTATGTATATAATTTATGAACAAAACTATGTGGAAAAGCTTGATTACTGTATTTTAATAAATTTACAAATGATCTATGATAGGCCTAATATTTTGATTTTCATTATTTTAGGTGTTTAATCACAATTGTAAGCATTGAATCATATGTAGTCCTCATGGCACGTCTTTTTTGACAGTGTCAGCAGGTTTACATATCAAGTTGATTTAACACACTTAACACATGTAACCAAATCAAATAACCAATAATCAATAGTCAAATAACTGATCGATGAGGTTCAGCAGCTGTTACCAAAACATAGCCAACTGAGAGTGTGGGTGTTGTACCTTGAAGTTAAATCTAAAAATTAATTGGTGAATACTAATGACTAAACAAATCAAATTTATGTCCTTGAGTGGTATAAAAAGTACTCGCCTTAGGCTCGCCCCAGGCCCCCATTGAGGGTGGTGGCTTATTAGATTACTCACTACATAAAAATGGGGAACTTAAGGGATTTATTTTGGGAGGAATTGCATTTTAGCAAACAAATTAGACTAAATTTAACTGCTTTGTTCAACAGTACAAACTCTATTTGCTGTATTATGATAATAAATATTAATATTTGTACAGTGAGAAAGCTAGTTTGTGCTATTTTTCTTGCACTACCTACATATTATCCATCAGCACTTTAAATATCTCATTTCAGCATAGGTTAACTTATTAAATATTAACCTAGTCGTTTCATACTAATTCTAAGAAAGGTTTTACAAAGACAAAAATGTAGAGTAGTACATCTAGCCATTTGAGGAAGTTGTGACAAGAACACAGCTTAATATACGTCACTAGGATGTAAATACGACGGTTGTCTGTAAATTAACGTCCCCATTGAGTCCCATTACAGCCAAGCAAGATAGATCAAATCTGAGACCAAGGTCCTGTTCCTTACCTCATCCATTACTATTCTAGGACCATTAGTGTTGCCATGGTATTTGAAAACGTTGTGAAAGAAAATGTAAAATACCAGCAACTATGGATCACATTAGGAACAAGACGGTGGCCTCGGATTTGATATAGCTGGTTTGATTGATTACAGCTCAATGGAGGTCTTAATTTTAAAACAACTTTTCAATCTTACATTGTCACTCTTTTTTACTAAAAAGACCGAATCCAACCTTTAAAGTGTTTCAATTCTACACTAAATATGAAGGGTTTCTATGGGACTACAAACCCCTCCTTTTTATTAACTTGTTTTAATAAACATTTTTATATGCAGTTACCGGTACCTTTTAATTAGGTAACATGTTAACTGCAAAAACTGTTATTCACATGATCTCATTGTTCTGAGTTTCACCATAAACTGATCAGAGTTATCATGTCTATTAACATGACTCATATTTAGATATTTAATTTCAGATAGGCTACATAGATATGTAGATATTTAAGTTTTAAAGGACATTGTTTTTGTCTACTCGGGACCCTAAAAAGAAAGATCACAATCGTCTTGGATCCAGCCTTACCTTATAAGACCATAATAGGAATTACCGATAGGCCTACTATAAGTAAGAAATTCATCAAACTAGTAAACACCTTTAACAGCTTATGTTTAGGCTTATTGGCATCAATCGTAGAATGTAAGTTGATACCGAATGCAGCTCCCTACTCAACCACCATAAGTGAATAAGTGAACAATTTCAAATTAATTTAACATTTAACCTACTATCAGCAAAACGTCCCACAAAATTGAGAAATTGTTGGAAAATGGTAGATCACTTATGACCCAGAGGGATCAAGTTCGAAACCATTTTAAAACTGTAAGTTAGGTAAGTTAGTCATAAGTTGATCAGACTGCAGAAGTGCAAGAAAGTTTCATGAACAAGCTTCTAACACTTATTGTGGAGGCGTGGTCTTCAGCAAGTGACAGGATGATCCTTAACGTTTTAACTACTATACCGAGTTCCGTTTTGAGGCAGAGTTGACAACAGCAACAGAGCAGAGTCCATTGAAGCGAAGGTTCACTTGAAACTTCGCTGTGGAAGAATCAAGTCACCTCAAAATGACACTTTGCATCGAGGATAAAAAGTTGAAGTGTAGTAGTGATCAAACTTATGTGTAACAGTCGTCACCTACAGACCATGAATCCACTACAGAATATGATATCTAATCGAACCTAACTGGCAAAGCAGGCTGTGTGTGTGCAGGCGGTAGGCCTATATCTGAGAATGTAAGATATTTAACCAATAAGTTAAATGCTACTTTTTAAGAAATTGTGAGGCGAGCTATCTAGGTAAGTAGGTTAGTTATAATTTTTATGTCAACACAACCGCAGAATAACAGAAAATACATTTTAGACCAATAGGCTATCAGATTTATGAAGATAAAGTGTGTAAAACTCCCATGCAGTCTTCCAGTGTGCTAGAAAGATTAAGTTAGTTAGTGTCACGGCAGTTAAAAATGAATAAGACTATTTCTAGTTTTAAAACCTCAAAAAAGTTAACTGTACATGTAACATATAACTAACACTAAAAAGACTGACAACTGGCAAGACTGACAAGGGACTGGCGTCGTACTGTAATACAGCTACTAGGTGGTCACGAATTGTGGATATTTAAATAGACATGCACTGTGGATGCGATACTCCCTGGTGAGGATAAACGTCCGCACTAGTCAGTAATATGACGATCCGCAGTACTATCCTGATAATTATACCAAATTTGTTAATTAACTTTTATGGCAAAAATGTGGTTTGGATTCAACTATAAACCTCAGGTCCCTTAGTTGCCATCAGCTGTATGGGGCTATTAATTAACAGCTGTGTCTAAGGAGCATGTCGGCCTTAGTCACTAACAAGACTACAAGAGCATTAGTTCCATTAAAAACAAATGTAGGAATACCTACATTCGTATGGTTGCCATTTCCCAAGAAAGTATTTAAGTATTAACAAAACAAACAATTAATGTAATTATTAACAAAATGTCCGTCTCAGAAGCCCTGCGTTAGTGTCTTTTTAAGCGGGGTCTCACAGGGCGAGGGTTTCGGTTTGTGTGTTTCTAAGCGAGGTCCATTATTTTTCAAATGGGGTCTCACAGACCGGGGGTTTCGGTTAACGTCAGCCGGAGTAGGGTTTCGGTATTAGTGTTAAGTACAGTAAATCACAAGATATTTCTTTGTGATATGGCTGAACACCTAACAAGAACATTGAGACAACCTCTCATAGATAATTAAAAATTCACCCCAGATTTCAGGGACAAGCCTTCATTCAATTGTACTTTGACATAGTTTTGCGCGTTGCATTCCACACAAGTTAATAATAAAGTAGGCCTATTCACACTGAAAAAGGGGCGGCCTACTCTTGCTCGAGTGCTTGACACGTCAGAAATACTATTCAAGGAAGCCAAGGCATGGTTATCAGCCAACAACCAGCTGAATGAGGATAAGACGCAAAAAATTGTGTGCTCCTTAACCCGATATCGCCAGATTGAATACAAAGTCAATCAGCCCGGTTTCACTAGCCTATCTACCCCAAACTGACATGGGCTGAACAAATTGGGTTTGTATGTAAGAGGTTGTATCCCCACATTAGGCTATCTACTGGTGGTATTTTTAATTAAACAACCTATCCGGCATCAAATCAAATAATCTTTATTCATTATTGAAACAGTCGGTCTCAGTGGAGAACAAGATAAAAGGCCTAAGGTTAGCATAATTTAGAATTTCATAATTATCTTTAGACCTTATTCTACTCGAACCAACACCAAATAGACCCAGGCCTACTTGATCGAACCCACTAAGAGCCTCCTGGACTTGATAGGCCTATTTAGGGGCGGTTCACGAGTCACGGGTTTATATCATAGTAAGTTATGATAAACTACATCAGTTTCCTGATAAAAATATTTTGGAAAATAAAAAAAAAAATAATAGGTAATAAGTTTGCGCTCAATGAAATTGTATAAATTATAGGCCTATAAATATTTGAAAATAGCCACTTTGTTCTAAATTTTATGAGGATTACAAATATATAATAATATAAGGAAGTAGATTTGCAAATAAATAAGTTATGGGCAAAAACAGATTTCAGTACATAGCGTTTAGCTAAGAATGCATAGCCTAACCATAGCTAGGAATCTGGCTGATAATTTACATCAATATCACTACCTACTTCTTCAGGATCATCAACCAGCCCTTCAAAATCACTTAAATCTTCTTATAATGCACCACGTAGGCCTATATCACTACTTTTGATTTTTAACACTAAAACAATGATAAACGTAATAAAACACATCAGTCATCGGTCCGAGGTTAACAAAGCTGTTTACAAATACGCACGTCAGCTGTCTGCTACAATATTTTCGGAACTAAAATGAATAGCGCTTAGAGACAGACCTCCGGAGAAAGCTCTGAATCAAACAAAAAGAACGATACCTAACTCAATCCAGTTCAATCCGATTCAGTCAGTCATAGAGCCTTCGCCGTAAACGATGTTCGTGTGTCAAAAATCGACAAGTGACACTACACAAAGTGTGTCGTGAGTCGATTTTTCGACAAGTGACGCTCGGAGGGTTAAAGCGGTCGAGATGACTAAGATTCCCGGGTCTGAAAGGGTTATTAATTTCATAATTCAATTATCAATCAAGTAACTTAAAACTTTAGTATAAAATGAATTTAAGTGCAAGTTCACAACCTTTTTATGCAATATCAGTAAACACTCTGTATACTGTAATAATAATAATTTATCACGTCATCCTATTGTTTTGGAACTCGTCGACCGCGAGCAGCTGCTCGGCAGGTAGCCCACTCGGCTGTTGCCAACCTTAAAACGAAAGTTCCCCGTCAAATCCCTGCTGTTGAGCAACGGTCAGCGTTGGTCTCGGCTAAGCTTGATCTCGGCTAACGCTCTATGTCGTGAACCCATTTTTTGGCTGTCGGTTAAAATTGGCCGAGAACAACGATAACCGCGGGCCACGGAACCCCGTACTCGTGAACCGCCTCTTAAAGTTATAAATCAGGCCTAAGTTAGCCTTGGTTGGATTATCGTCAAATTAGTAGGTATCTGACCATCAACTTGAAAGTCATTGCTTGTTTTAAACTACTACATTGGTCTTAAGGAAATGGCTATAATTTTATACCAAGAATGATAGGTCTATGATAGAGCCTATCCCATTCTGACGTGACCTTAAGGATGAGTAAGGTTTTGCATAAGAACGTTTTTCAGGCATACTTAGTGAGATGAAAGCAAATCATTAACAATCCGAGAGCATTGTTAGATATAAAAATGAACTGATTACAGTATATTTGTTATTTGTCTAAGTATATCTCACTCACCCATCAAAATCCTCATCTGCTTCTTCCCAAAAAGCCGGGTTAAGACACTGGATATTGTAAGCCCCATGATTTCGACAAACAATCAAGTCAAGGAAACTTTATCAGACGTTTCGATAATCTTTTAATACTTTTAATCCACTAAAATATCAATTATGCCACGTAGATATTATAGCATTTCAAACTTCGATTAGGTTATCTTCAATGGCAGTTTCAATTTGTCACCACCGTACTCGCACTCGCAGTAGTCAGTCAGTCAGTCCAACCAACCAAATCAAATCCAACACAGTTCCTCGTCCAACGCAAATGTGTCATCACCAAGGTAGCCAACAAAACTCAGTTCAAAAAAAGTTTTAGATACATTTGAAGAATACTATATAGCAATATTTGTAACCGTTAATTTTATTTACTTATGAAAAACTGACATGAATTTTGATTGATACTGAATAGACAATGACCATGTAAAATCATGTATCCTCTCGTGTTTCGTGTTCGGTAAACATAGAGTGTGCTGATGTCAATCTAAACTAGCCTCCAATGCCGGTATTTGTATTATTTAGGTTGTGTTTAAAAAGGAGAGTGGGAATGAGCGACGTGAAGCTGGTCCACCCATTCCCGCACACATTTTTAAAATGTGTACAAAAAAGTGTGCTCTTTTAATAATTATGATATAATCAATTGTATTTGGGAGGGCCAGAATCATGGCTGGCCCGCCCATTTCAGCTACTGAACTATAAACCATACCAAAAAACTGTGCTGAAAGTGTGCTCACAGGAATCATTAATCAAACAATTGTGCCACCCCCGTTGCTAAACAAATAACCCCTAACTGGTAAGGGTAATCAAATGACCCAGCCCGCCCATTTCAGCTACAGATCTATAAACCATGCCAAAAAACTGTGCTGAAAGTGTGCTCAAAGGAATCATTAAGAAAAAAAGTGTGCCGCCCCGTCACTAAACAAATAACCCCTACTTGGTAAGGGCAATAAAATGACCCAGGCCACCCATTTCAGCTACAGATATATAAATTGCGAGTCCCATGCCTCACTTTAAATTTATGTTTCCTAAAATGTTACACTCGCTTAGCTTAGTAGTTAGAGCGGGCCGTGACCATAATAGAGTGTGTTATTTATATAAATTGTCTAAGATCACAAACAACATTATATACATTACAAAATCTAGCTTTTAAAAGTAGGGGGAGTCCTATAATAAAGCTGTTAACTTTAATTAATCATTAAATAGGTAAATAAAAACTATTTAAAAAGATCCGTCAGGCTGGAAACCACCTAAAGTGTGTATGTAAATTTTATTAAATACAGTATTAAAAAATAGGTAAGTTTCATGATAAATTAAAATATGTTAAACAAAACTCCTTTCGACCAAAAGCTGAAATAAAAAGTTACATAATGCTCCTTTTCGTATGTAAACACTTTTATTTTCTTGAAATTTGAATTAAAAACAAAAATAATATGACATTTAAAGTTGCAGTGGTGCCATGGCTAATCATTCAATCTGAAGCAATTAAATAGTTTACAGGCTGCTGGGGTTGGAATGGTTTATAGATCTGTAGCTGAAATGGGCGGGCTGGGTCATTTTATTACCCTTACCAGTTAGGGGTTGTTTGTTTAGCAATGTGGTGGCACACTTTTTTTTCCTAATGTTTTCTGTGAGCACACTTTCAGCACAGTTTTTTTTTTGTATGGTTTATAGTTCAGTAGCTGAAATACAATTGATTATATCATAATGATTAGAAGAGCACACTTTTTTAATAGCCGTTATAAAGAGCACACTTTTAGCACACTTTTTTGTATACAATTAAAAAAAGTGTGCTGGAATGGGCGGGCCAGCTTCACGTCACTGTGGAAATGGCCTATCCCGGCAATGTTAAATTGGCCATCTTTAGGTACACTTTTCTTCAAAAGTTGTAAAGCTATGACTTTCAAAATCGTTGGCTATAATTATCAACACTTTATGTATAAACAGACCCAATTTCAGAATTTTCAATTAAGTATTTTTTTTTACCAGTAAACAATTTTTTTGTAAGACACAAAAAAGTTTACAAATTTTACAAGACATAAATGTATTCTTCAAACTAGCAAAGTGACAGTAATAAAAATGGGTCTAAATGTTACTTATAACAAAACAATTATGTATACAAAATTTAAAGTCTCTAGGTCACTTAGTTCCAAAGATAATTATGTGTAACTTTTTTTATAAAAAAAGTTGAACTTTCGGAAAACACGGTGAAAACACCATAATTTTAAAGGGAATTAAAAAGGAGAACAACAATCAGCAAAAACCAAGTTTGTGTAAATAAAAAAAATATCGGTCTGGCTCCCCTTTTAAACTCCCTGTATAATCATCATCTGCATCATGAAATCAAAAAACTAGAGCTAAAATTTAAAATATATATAGTATGATGGTTAAATAATGTAAAAGATTGCAATTGGAAAAAAAATTATATAATGTTATATTCACATTAAATTTGTTAATATGTATTTAGCTATGTGAAAAAAATCGTCAATATAAGCCCAAGCACTATGTGAAAGGAAATATGTGTTGATATATCGCATTGCGTAAATAACAATAATTTTTTTATTTTTACAAGCCAGGGGGTTAAATTCTGGCTGCAAACTTTTGAGCTGCACAAGTTCAATAAATTAAAGGTGGGACTAACCGTATATTTTCACGGTTGTGAATTTAATCAGAACACACCAAATTAATTATAATACCTAGAGTGTACGGGCCTGAATTTAACCCCCAGACTTTTACCCCTTCATATTTCAGCTCAAAATGTACGACCCGGAGTATTAGTTTTATTATCTGCACAGGGGGTAAAAATCCCAAGGTAAAAATCTGGGGTAAAATTCCGGGGGTAAAAATCCGGGCCGTACATATACAGGTTGTGTAAACGCTAGTTATATGGACAGGAGGTAAAATTGCGGTTTTATTGCTATTCTAATTTATCACGCCCTGTCTAGTTCCATTAGACTCTTAAATCCGCAGGGGTAAAATCTAAAATCCCGCCAGTGAACAAACTTTAGAGCACTCAGATTACTACGTCATAGTAAAGTCAGCTTTGCCCAAGGGGCAAAATTCCATGGGGATAAAATTCCGGCTACCCCACCTACTTTACACTTTACTACACTTACACTATAGTAACAGTAATGAGGCAATCATAAGCCACTCATCGTCCACAGGGAAGCGACTTGCGGCTTTACAAAAATTTTAATGCAACCTAATGGAAAAGACCAAACACCGTCTTCGAGGCAATCTTGAAGGGTGCCGTATTTCCCCCAGACGTGGGTGAGGCGGACAGTGGGGCCAGCGGACAAAACTGGGGAATTATCGCGTTTTGCCTCCATGTGCCCAGTTATCTTTCAACCACACCTAAACTACCAAAGCAATTTAGCTCTGATTTTGTAGGTTGATAGCTAAGAGGCTATGTTTGATCTATAATAGCTAATAAACCAATTACAGTAACAATTTGAAACAAAATAGTTATTTGTGTAACTAGTGAGCAAGGTGGAACTTTGCTGCACACGAGATAAATGTTTACGCACGAGCCTGCGGCTGGTGTGACTTGTGCAAGGGGGAGATAAAATAAGCTGCTTGAGAAGCACTCCAAGCAGTCAGTTGTCTGTCAGCCGATCTTACATAGTAGTATGAGCCCTACAGGGCAGGGAAGCTAACATTAAAATTATACAAAGCAGTCTAAATAATACTGGTGAGTGTGGAGTACCCCATTTATTTGATATATTTAGTAAGAAGGCAATTTATTATTTCTTTCAGTTTTTACTTAGTCTTACTAAGTCAATATTATATTTGATTTTGTCTTTTACCCAAAATTACATGACAAACTTTTCCATAATAAGTTGCCTACCCCAGGTCTCGTTGCTTAGCTGTTTACTTGTCTTAGGTAATTTAATGTTATTGTTTTCCTAGAAGCGGAGCGGAACACCATGTTAATTTCTTTTTGGCTCTCCGCGTTCCTCTCTCCGCTTCTGCGCCTAGGAAAACCCAGCTTAATCTTGAGATAGCTCTGGGATGTCGATGTAACAAAAGGTTAACTAATATAAAAAAATTAATAAAATAAAAAAACAAACAACTTCATTTTGTAATGTAAAAAATATTTATTGGTTTTATCGTTTTATGTAGTGAACAACTGAACAAGCACAATAATTAAAGTCTTATAGATTTTTAACTGCCATCAAGGACCAGTCCATATCCCTGAGTACACTCACACTTGAAGTGGATAAGAAACAATCCCTCCTTTCAAACTCACTTGGTTTTAAAAGTTAGTTTTTTTTTTAATTAAGTTCACCAAATTTGTTTATTAAAACAAGCTTAGGATAAATCTAGTAAGCTTTAGGCCACAAGAAATTTGTTTACCATTGTGTAATCCATCCAGTTAATAATTATTAGCCCATTCTTTTTATGTGGTGATAGGCGACGGAAGTCTTTTGCTGGACTTTAAAGTGGAGCAAGACTTAATGTTTGACCATGTTTGATCAAAAGTTTTTTCCGATTAAGTAGATACTATCAAATAGTCAGAAAAAATTATCCAACAATTTTTAATTTGTATGCATGCTCATTTCTATGTGTTGGTGAAAATAAAGTTAACTATTCATATTCATTCATTATTGAGTATATAAAGTATGACACGACACACACTAAAAATAGACACAAATTATTGGTTTGGCAAGAAACATTTATTAAGAAACAAGTATAGCAGTAAAAAGACCAAACATGACATTTCTTGTTTGAAAATATTTCAGTCAATTTATTTCATCATGGAATGTTCTAATTTAAATATCAAATACATTTTATATTTGTTCTTAAGCTACAATGTACTGAATTCTGTTATGCATTTAGGACACCAAACAAAATTACAAAGTCAAAATAAAATACTGTTTAAGATTTATTCAAGTACAAGAAAAGCCTCCGTTTGTAGTTTATTCGGGAAGGTTTCCAGCAAAAACTAAAAATTGTAGATTCAAAATACATAAAAAAATTTTAATAATTTTTAAATTGTGGTTTTAAAAAATACATAAAATATTTTACAAATAATTAAAGAGACTAATTATGTTTAATACAACAAACCATTAAATGGAACTGGTTGAAGATAATTCATTGTAAATTACATATTTAAAAAGCCCTACATTAAGTTGGAGAAGGTTAAATAAGAAAACAAAGCTGCATGAAAAATTGCTTTCTTTTAGTGACAAAACACTGAGCATATCCATACAGTCAAATGATAAAGTTATATTAGTGGTGTTGTGGACCAGCGATGCATATAAATTATTATACATTCCATTCAATACATCCAACATTTTAAGCAAAATTATATTATTTACAGTGCATTCGTCAAATTTGACATTTTTATTATAATCTTATTATCGATAATAAAATGACACAGTGACTCTTGCCTAACATTGCTCGTCTTTCGAATTGTTCATATATATACATGTATACATATAAATACACAAGCATGATTATTGTATATATATACATGTATGTATATAGATATATAAAACATATAGAATATTATTATTTTACAGGATTGAGTTTGGTTTGATCGAACATAAAACGTTTATCGGAATGGAAGGGGGAGCGTTGGTTTGGTCCTCGGTAAAGTGCCACACCGATACGTTACATCGATTATCCGACACATAGACCACATCGATACATCAACGGGAGCTTCATCTTGACAATTTGGTGCAACATGGAAGACATTAAAATCAGACATTCACAAATCATATAAACGACTCTATTAAATCAGAAACAGTGGTCAGATGAGTTGCAGAAAGTGATGTGTTTGACTATGTCCAGAGGGTAAGGCCGGACCACACACATACCCGTATTGCTATTCACATTTAGTTATTATATAACATTCATTCGTTTACGTTAAGAAAAGTCACGTCTTACAAGATGTTACATTACATTCTTAAGATCTACTTTACATATCGGTTAGAGGCATTGCGATTCATACAAAAGGCGTGGGGAAAGCCTCTTCCCGCAAATGCTTAAAAATGCTTTAGGGTGCCACTTGGAATAACCTAATATTAAAATAACGCTAAAACGAATAAACACCTATAAACAAAATAGTTTCGTTGATTTTCTTTCCTGTACACAGATTTGTTAAGAAGTTTTTAATGAAATAGAAAACGATTTAGATTCAGGCTACCGACCCTTCCTAGGTATAACAATTATTATCAACGCGAGGAGACGTACAACTTACGTAATAACTGTTTACTTGGAATGCTACAGTTTTTGAGGAATGTAACAACTACCGGACCACGTTACAGATAAAACACAATTAAAACAGCATTTGTGCACAGATAGTCTGACATTCAAACAACTAAACATACATATCCCTGAGACGATGTTCATTAATTGCTTCGAATCTGATAAATCACTTACTACTTATGGAAGTGAGTAAGTCCTCGACACTAATCTATCTAACATGGCCCAGGTACATTAATATTTTGCGATAAACGGTGGATGTATCAATTTAAATGTTTTTGGACAACAGGCAAGATGAAGGCTTATTTTAAGTAGGGGTTTTCAAATTTATTCGCTTCACTGGACATAGTTTGTTCGATAATAAAATCTTACACAAAAGGTTTATAAATTATTTTTTTACAATGATAATATAATAAAAAATTATCATTCAAAAGCTCGTTTGTGTTTATAAAAAAAATCTTAAAACTAGTTAATTAAGTACAGTATTTACAGAAAGAATACAAATAAAAGGAACTAGGTATATTATAATAAAAGAGCTGTATTGCTTGATTTACAAACTTTATCATATTCTGTTAAAATAAAATCTAGTTTACATATACATTTCGAGAATCAACCTCGTTAAAATATTATTTGAAATTACGTTAATCTATCTCATGCGATTGAGTCGAGACATGCATTTGTAAAGACTTTACAAAAACTAATATCAGTTGGTAACAAAATACATAATTGATATTAATCTCGAGAAAATATATAATAAAAATATAGCAAAAGCGTAAAACTTATTATAAATTTATTGCTATATTTGTCACCGATAATAAACATATCTTAAGAACTAAAGATAGAGAATTATCTCGAATAGGATAAAATATTATAATAAGTATAAGTGTCGATGCGTAAACTACAGGTCAGTTGACCAAATGGTTTGCTTGGGTGTTGTGGACACGGCACAAATGAGCTTATGAATGAAATGAGATTTCACCGTTTCACAATACATACACAGATAATAACTGCTATTAGATAATTTGTCATTATCTAAAAAAACATAGTTTTACATCGATACAGTGGTTTAAATCGGTACCATTTTGATACGAGGTTGAGAAAGAACGGTTCATGTAAATCGCAAACATCCAAAGTATTAAATTTGATAAACATTTCAAGCTTCAAACAACACCGATGATGATTATTATTATATATATTTTTTCGACAAAGATGACCCAAAACAATTAAGTACAGATAGAAAATATATCGAACTTCCTACAACCACCCAAACACACCACACACTCATCGGATGTCAAGAGACATTTGTTCTTTCCACTAGTTGTTCGTTTGGGACTCACACGACACTTTCAGCGGATTCATTCTACCGAGGCACTTCGGGGGAATATTTCCTGTCATGATACTTCTTCACTCATCATTCGTTTGAGCAATGTAAAAAGAGAAGAGATGGGCTCAAGGGTTCGATTCCATAATGTTGTGAACTTGTTCCAATTTAAATGCCAGTCTTTGCTTTTGAGAAAATTCATCTTCTTCAAGGGTTACACTTAACTGTTCATTGTATTTCATGGCATAACTGTACAATTCTTGGAGTGCACAATTTGTGTTGAACTCTGTTGAGTGAGCCTGCAAAAAATATTAAATTAATATAGCACAATACAGTATACAAACAAAAATAGTATCTAAACAATATTTGAGACTTCTGTATTATTTTCGCAGAATAGAATGTTAAGTTTAAGGAGCAAACGCTATACAGTAGACTACTATCTAATAGATAACTATCTAATCTTCGGCTATCCAACCTTCATTGCAGACGATTTATCTAGAAAGACCAAACATAGTCCAAACACTGATCTAAGATTGCTTTCTTTATATTTGTTACAAATATTGATTTGACTGAGAAAAGATGGATTGCAGAAACCCTTGAGTGACATGTGAGACTCACCCTTGACTCCTCAGCCAGCATGGCTCCCATATCTTGGTCTGAGATGGCCGGCATCATCTTGATATCCGAGTAGTAACGCTCCACCCACTCCTTGTACACTGGGATATCCTTGGCGTACAACAACTTGGAACTGGGAGAATCCTTGCCTGTGAACACCAAGATTGGGACATTTAAAACATTGAATAATCAGCGAAGCAATCAAGGGTCTGAGGAGCAGAAATCATGGTTTGGATTTCAATATTTTTTTCCAGTGAGGTAAATATAACATGTACAGCATATAATAACATGTATAATTGAAAGTGTAATTACATAGCTACCCAGTGAGGTAAATATAAAAAGTAAATACATGTGTACTGACAAAACAAAACATATTGAAAGTGTAATTACATAGCTAGTTATATCAACATTCATGCTGCCAGGGCCGCAGCTACACATATTTCTAGGGGGGGGGGGGGTTGGGCAAGTCCTCAATTTGCCGCCCTTCCACCATGCAACTGTGCATTTTTTCTAATTGCCAATGGTATTCTACTGTCAGTCTTAACACGAGGCACACACTTTTTATTTAAGAAAATGGCCCAAAGGTTCAATGATAATTTCATATTAGGTTATTAAAAATTTATTAATTAAAAAAATTGGTGTATTATTATGTAATTCTTAAACCTGTAAGTACAATTTGTATAAGACCAAATAAAATAAATTCTTTAATATTTGGTTATTAAATTACCGTGAACATACAGCCATAGATTAGGCCATTAATATACAGGGTGAATTTTAAATGAGTTCCCCCCCTACTTTTTTCTACATTTCTTAAGATATCAACTTCGGACCACGTCAGATCATTGTAGTGTAGTAAGTACTTCGTTTTGACTGGATAAACATTTTTGGCCGCCATCTTGGATCCGCCATATTGGATACAAAATTTTTTTTTCAAATGTAAAGGTAGGGTTGTGACCCATTGTTTCAAACTAGAATTTTACGCTGATTACACTGCCGCAACTAGTTTTAAAAAATCTTGATCCGTTCTAAAGTTATGAGGACTTTTTATAACTTTATTTTTAGCCCATTTTAACATTGTGCATTTACAAACTAAGACCATAATCTCAAAATAGTGCTAGATAAAGATAAATATACACCACCATTCATTGTCGACCTATTATCACTTGGTTATGACGGATTAATTTTTTTCGGCCGCCATCTTGGATCTGCCATTTTGAGATGTGATAAATTAATTTAAATATGAAGGTGGTGTTGTGACCCATCATTTTGAACTACTTTTTTATGCTCAACTCAGTGCCGCAATCCGTTTTTGTTTCTCAGGCTTTCTTGATGAAATATTAAAATTATCTTACTTAAATTTCCAATATTTCAAAAAACAAATATGAAAATGCAAAACTGATTGCGGCATTAAATTCAGCATAAAAAAGTAGTCTGAAATGATGGGTCACAACACCACCTTCATATATAAATTAATTAATCACATTTCAAAATGGCAGATCCAAGATGGCGGCCAAAAAAATACATCCGTCATAACCAAGTGATAATAGGTCGACAATGAATGGTGGTGTATACTTATCTTTATCTAGCACTATTTTGAGATTATGGTCTTAGTTTGTAAATGCACAATGTTAAAATGGGCTAAACATAAAGTTATAAAAAGTCCTCATAACTTTAGAACAGATCAAGATTTTTTAAAACTAATTGCGGCATTGTAATCAGCGTACAATTCTAGTTTGAAACAATGGGTCACAACCCTACCTTTACATTTGAAAAAAAATTTTGTATCCAATATGGCGGATCCAAGATGGCGGCCAAAAATGTTTATCCAGTCAAAATGAAGTACTTACTACACTACAATGATCTGACGTGGTCCGAAGTTGATATCTTAAGAAATGTAGAAAAAAGTAGGGGGGGAACTCATTTAAAATTCACCCTGTATAAAATTCTTCAATAATTTGATTATATTAGATTTTTACTTGATTTTTAGCAGCAATCGTCTTGATTAGGTCAGAAAATGGAACTTTTGTCACTCTTACACATTTAATTGAGATGATACTTTTGCTGAGCTTTGTCTGCTAGCAGTACACTATCGCCGAATATAGGAGAGCACGATAGTGTACCCAGTCTGCTCGTGTGCGGTCGGGATAATTCGCCTCGCCATGATTCGTGCTCCCATCCCTGAACCTCACCACCGTGTTCATATAAATATTTCCTTAAAAGCCCTTTACATTGTATTGGCTAGACCACTTAAGTACTAAACAAAATAACAAGTTTTGTATTATAAGGTTAAAAAAAATTACAAAGCAACCTAAATTTTGCCGCCCCCCAAAACTTGCCGCCCAGGGCAAACGACCCCCACTGCCCCCCTAACTGCGGTGAGTTTCCAGCTCAAAGGATGATCACAATGTTTGGATACGCCTATGTGCGAGTTGTCCTGATGTCTGGTTGTAATGTAATATCTTTGAACCTTTATTTTTGACATGGTTTTGTTTAATATTTGATGTTACAGTATTTAGTTTTCCATTGAGGCCTACATTTCTATAGAGAAACTAACAGTTTTAGTCTTTAAAATTGACAAAAAAGTGTTATGTTGTATTATTAGTAGGCCCTCCTGTTGTTTCTTTGTTTTGTCAAACTAATGCTTTGAACTATAATACAAGTATGACATGTTTAGTACTTAAATAAAAACATTGGGAAATTAATTAGCTGAAAATTTGATGAACAGATTGAAAACTTGAGTTACATTGAAATACTGAGGTAAAATGAAAAAGTACAGTACATGATGTTGATTATTAACAGTTTTAAACTCCACTGAATATTTGAAATATGTTTATGACAATTCACCTACTTATATCAATAGTTTGTGATACTGATTTAAAATGATAAATAAATAATTAGCAAAGCAGGGAGCTTAATTATTCAAGAATGGTTCTTTGTAATTTAGTTTATAGTTAGTTCACAGCAAATACATAATTTATAATTGTTTAGTTGTTTATTGAGTAGTAAATAATCTTAATGTAACCTTGTCCATCATGAAAGCAGACTGTGAGTAAAATACAAATCTTGAATCCTATCACAATGAACCAAAAATATTAGAATATAACACAATTTTTCCAACCAACTAAGATGGTATTTACCTAGCCTGTGATCAGAAGTAGAGCAGGAGTCCATGAATGTCTGGGCCACTACGGAAAGACAAGAGTCTACGATGTTCGACTTGTGTATGTCAAACACAAAGTTGGGGTTCTTTATAAGATTCACCCAAAACCGCAATGGTAAGCTGCAACAAACAAAATACAACTTGTTTTCCTTAAGAAAAAGAAAACCGACTAAAATAGCGTAATTTATTCTAAATTATACTGCTCTGCCAAAATTGTATGTAATAAAACGTCTCAAATCCAGGTCAAAGTAATTATAAAGCTTTGCTTGTTACAGTACACCTGTGCAACTGGAGCTTTGACCTAATAATGATGAATCTAAAACCTAACCTAAAATCGTCACACAAGTTCATAATTTAATTACACGTTGTGATTGTACATACAAACTCTCTGGATACTGTGAATTTGTTCTATTGTTTGACAGAATAATAGAACATACAGTAACATAAGAGTATACAATCCCTATTTTTTCTATGTTTGGCCTTTGTGCTCGGCTTCTATTTAAGACTGGTGTCGCGGAGTGTTAGGTTTGTTCTAATTTAACTAAATATATGAACGTGAAAAAGAAGTCTTATTTTTGACAATTCAAGTATTTCAGTTTTTGTTAGCACAATCTTGTGGCTATTAGTTTAACTTGTCTAAACTAACATTATTTTCTTTTTATCATCACAACATATGGTTTTAATAACATGTGTTAAAAACTGTCTTTTTGGAAATGTTATGGCTTGGCCACAGGAGACTTTATAACAAATAAGAAATTATTTTTTAAAATGACATCTTTTGTTACATTCAAACATTTTTGACGACAGTGAAACTTAGATAATTTCAAACACAGATGAGACCAGTGTAAAATTCAAACAATATAGGTCTAGAACAAATTTGGATTAGAAAAGATTGTTATTAAAAGTTAAGATAATTTAAAAGATACCCTTTAGATTGCACAACTGTGCTCTAAACTTGTGTAAGTAAATTTAAGGGTTTATTACATCTCTGCTATTTTTCAGATAGAGTCCAAGATTTGTACATTGGTTTGACTTTGATGAAAATATTGTTGCTTGATTTTACAAGTGTCAACGGTGTCTAAACTTACACGATAAACTCAAAGGTAAAAATAATAGAAGTACTCAGAGATGTGTAGGGGTTCAGAGTCAGAACAACAACTGATGGAGAGTAGTGCACAAAACAAGGGTTGGCATGTAGAGTGGGCTAGCAGGCGACCGACCAATTACAAAACAGTTTTGCCAGTAATGGAATGGCAAAGGAGAAGTTGAGGAAAGAATGGCCTTGACTGAATTATGTAGTGTGCAGTAATAGGCCATATTGCAACATCCTGCGGTGTTTCGATGCCATTTAATCATCGCATTGATCTTGTAAAACCCCAGTTGCCATTCACCAATGGTAAAACAATTTGAATCATCCAAAACTATTTTCAAAATTCCAACGGTATTTTGACATTGATTATATATATAACAGTCCTAGAGACCGGGAGAAAAATTAGAATTAAAGAAGTTTTTAAAATTAGGGAAGTTTGAATCAAGCATGTTCCACTGTATTTATTATTATTATACAACTGTTGTCATCAAATACCTGTTGCTTTTCCAGGTGTGGACGACCTCCGGATCAGTGATGCTGTGCTGAAGAGCTTGGTCGTCCAGGAAGTCAAACATGTACTTGATGGCTAGCGGCAGAGCACTGCCTCTATGAGCTGTGCTGAAGATTGTCTCAAACAGGTCATCCACAAACTTTTGTAAAGTTCCCTACACAAACGTTACAATGTGTGTGAGACTCTACTAATCAATGTTGACTTTCTCCAGGTATTCATACACTGATGGGCAATAAGAAGGGAAGTGCTTTATTTTAAACAATTGCTTGCATTAAAAAAACATATTTGACACACAAAACAATAGTGTGTACATCCGCTTGCTTGGTTTAAGGTTTTACATGTCACTCTACTGCAAAAATAAACAAATAACACAATTTTAAAATTCTTAAGCACTTTCTTTCAGTTAATACAGAGAAACACATACTATATAAATTTATAAAATCTATAAAATGTTAAGACAGTTTCATTCTAATGAAGATTGCTCAGGTTAAACCTATGAAACTATAACAAGTATAGTTGTGGTAAAGTTATCTTATTTTTGTATTTATAAAGGGCTAATGGAAAAGAGTAGAGGAAACATGGATAATACAACTTGGTGGTCATTGTGTTTACCTTGGTGGCGAGTAACCTAGTGAGATAAATCTCAGACACCATCTTGTTTCCTCGCTCTCCCTCCTTCTGTGCATCCGTATCGTGGTGTTTTACAAGGTGCCACACCTGAAAATATCAAATGGTTTAGTATTTGAGGTATTTAGTAATGTTTCCTGAAATGGACTCTCCTTTAAAAATACTTCAAGAATAAAATATTGGAGTTTATACATTTTCGTGTCTGCTTCAAAGCCTATCACATGTTCAAGCAACAAATTTATGGAAAATTCCCATGGGGTTTGGTGCTTCTTGTTTTATATCTCCTGCGGTCGTGTAGATATCATCGTCTCCCAAGGTCAAAGAAACTTGATCATCATTATTCCTCGAGCCAGACGAAATCCTGAATATTTCCAGCGGTTTGTTAGACATCATCGCCTCCCGCAGTCACGGAAACGTCATCATAGCCTTCCACAATCGCAGCAAAATCCTAGACATCTCCCGCAATCATGTAGATATCACCATCGTCTTCCACGATTACGAAATCGTTATTGATGTCATCTGTGTTCGCGGCAAAAGCGTGAATATATTGACACCGCGAACTTCCTAAACTATTTAAAGACATAGTCATATATTTAAGGATAAATCCCGTACATTCATGGCCAGCCCAAAATGAAGTACAATTCCCGTTTTTTTCTTTTCGATTTCCGGATTGGTAGAAACCCTGCAAGTGTCAGTTTTCTTGATCGTAATGGGATGCTTTCCAATTGTCGAAGAAGGAATTTAGTCCTTGAAAACTTCTTGGTTACATAATCACTTAATTATCACCCTTGGAGGTTTTAGGTACAAACAAACTAGGCACGTTAAAATGCTAAACATATGCTACTATTAACCAATAAAAAGGGCGGACGGGGTTTTTCAAAGTTTTTTTTTATAAGACCAGGGCCCTGTTTCATAAAAATACTAGTCTAGTATTTACTAGTCCATAGACTAGTAATACTAGTGTATTTTACAAGTCTACGTTTCAAAAACCTACTAGTGTAAAATACTAGTTACTAGTGTAGGGACTAGTATTACTAGTGGTTTTTACTAGTGTAGACAGCAATGTGTTTCATAAAGTTTTACTCTTGTAAATTACACTAGTAAATACTTGCTATTTTCTACCAACATCTCTTCACCCGTATTATTTGAAGTAGACTAGTATTTTTGGAAAGAGAGCTATTTCATTACTCACATCATTAAAAAAAATGAATTATTAAGTTCTTTTTGCAAGTGCGAATTGGCTCACGAATAGATCTGTGAGTGCTAAAATGATAATTATTAGATATAAATTACAATCAATAAATGTGGCGTGGTACAAAATGAGTGAAATTCAATTTTATAATGTATGTACAATCGCCCTATTAGAATAATTATGATCAAGTTATCAATTTCTGTGAATTTTTAGTCTAATTTTACTTGAGTTAAATTTCATGGTTATATCAACTATTTAGCTATCACAGAGAAAAAATTTTTAAGCTTTGATACTTGATAGGAACCAAATTAAAACCGCAAATCGTTTTGAATACAAAGATGTACAAAAATGTATTAATCAGATTATTTTACACCCAATTAAGGCTCTCGGTTTTATTTAAAGACATTTTAATAGGAAATAATAGTAAGGCAATTTTAAAAAGGAGTTGCATTGTATTTTTTGAGGTGCTTATTATTTGCTTCCGTAAATATCTAAAACCCTGTGATGTACTAACAATTTTGTAGACCTATATTTGATTTTTGGGCGTTGAACTTAACTGCTTATCATAAAAACATTACTTTCAATCCATTTTGGTATTCTGAATTTGTTATTCAAAGTAATAAAAAAATAGATGTTGATTAGAGCTGTTATTTTAATGTAAAAACATGTAAAAGTTTAATTAATGCAATAAAAAGTAGAGTGCAACAGAAGCTGCAGAAGAAATAAGGCAAGAAGTCTCCTGTATTATCCGTAAATCTAGACCACCAAAACTCAACCTAACTTTAGCCGAAATCTCCGCTTTAAGAAGAGTTAAAAACGACGAAAGTTTAGTTATTTTACCTGCTGACAAGGGCAATGCAACAGTAGTGATGGATTCAACAAACTACAGGGAAAAAATGTACACCTTATTGAACGACGGCACCTACAGGGTCATAAGGAATCCGACTAGACGAATCAATGAAAATTTGAAAAAACTAGTACAGTCATCTACAATTCCGTCTGAACTGCATAACAAGCTTCTTACTTCGGACCCAACTCCTCCACTACTGTATGGATTACCCAAAATTCACAAGGATGGAATCCCCATGAGACCTATTGTTAGTGCCATTGGAAGTCCTACGCACAATATCGCCAGATACATATCTCGGCTGCTCATGCCTCACATTGGACGGACAGAAACCTACGTCAAAGATTCACGCCATTTTGTGGAAATCATCAAATCAATTAGAATCGAAGAAACGGACTTGTTAGTTAGTTTTGATGTGCAGTCTCTGTTTACGAAAGTGCCGATTCCAGAAACCATTGAACTCATCAATAACATTTTACCAGAAGATTTATCCATCTTGGCCGCAGAATGTTTAAAATCAACTTACTTCCGATTTGACGGCAAGTTCTACGAGCAACTAGACGGCGCTGCAATGGGTTCTCCACTCTCACCAGTTGTTGCAAACTTGTATATGGAGCACTTCGAAACGAAAGCCTTGGAATCCTTCGAACTTAAGCCAAAACTGTTTCTTCGCTATGTCGATGACACTTTCGTCATATGGCCCCATGGCTTCGATTCCCTCCAAAAGTTCTTCTCTCACCTGAATTCCCTACACAAAAATATTCAGTTCACCATGGAAACTGAAACTGAAGATCGCATTCCCTTTTTGGACGTTTTGGTGATCAAGAAAAATGACGGGACACTCAGTCACGCAGTCTACAGAAAGTCTACACACACCGACAGATACCTCAACGCAGCTTCACACCATCATCCCGTCCAGAAAAATGCCGTACTAAACACATTAATCAACAGGGCTTTAGCCATCTCCAGCCAAGATTACATCAAACAGGAAAAATCACACCTGATCAAAACTTTACAACAAAATGGTTACAAAAAGTACAGTATATACAATGCAATAAGGAATCAAGAAAACCGGATCACAACAAACTCGCAGGATAGTAAACCAAAAAATTCTGAAGAGAAACAAAACCGAGCCTTTCTACCGTACGTCAAGGGAACCTCTGACAAAATAGGAAAAGTGTTGGGAAAATACGGCATCAAAACAGTTTTTCGGCCCTTCAACAAAATAAAAGATATTCTTCGTCCAGTTAAAGATAAGATACCCCTACATTCATCAGGAGTATACCACGTTAAATGTAGCTGCGGAAGGTGTTATGTGGGTGAAACAGGAAGATTAGTATCTACCAGAATTAAAGAACATATTCGCCAAACCAAGAACTGCGACGACCGTTCTGCCATAGCCAGCCACTCTACAGAGTTCAAACACTCCATAGACTTCGAAAGCACGAAAATAATCGCTTCATCCAACAACTACTTTGAAAGAAAAGTATTAGAGTCCATAGTAATAAAGAAACACAAATTCAACTTCAACAGGGATCACGGATTAGAAATCAGCCCAGCCTGGACACCAATCATCAGTAAATTATCTTGTAAATGTGACCCAGAAAGTTCTACAGATCGCTAAAATAGCACAGGTATCCATCAACCCCAGAGCAACAACATTCCAGAAAGGCCAGAACCCCCTACAACATTCCAGAACGTTCTACTAGACTCCGCATACCATCACCCCTCACCCCCACCAACTAATAAAATAGGACGACGCTCACGACCTTCTTCAGTTGAATAGTAGTTCGCCCCGAAGATGGATAGCTGCTACGCATCCGAAACGTCGGCCTCTAGTTTAAGTTATTCAACGACGCGGTCAACACCCGAAGACCAAGATTTGACAAAAAGTAGAGTGGCGCAGATTTGGACCAGGGACCGACCACATGACAAGCGAGAACTCTGCCTCTGAGCTAAGCCCTGCCGTAGCGCCTATGCCATGTTTTACTATACTTGAAAACCTACTTCTCTATTGCTTGTAACGGCGTTGCAATTAATTGTTACATCAATAAACGTTTAGGCTTATTATTCATGGTTTGTAGACTCAAAATTAGAATATCGCCAAATGGTTTTAAACCCAAATATTCTTATGCATTCGAATATTTGAAAACATAGGTTAGGGTACTTTGAAAACGTTCCAAACAAAATGTCCTTAGACGATTTAATTACATTCAAAATTTGAGCCTTCTTTTCTTTAATCATAGCAAGCTAAATTTTATACGTCAGAATAAAACAAAAACCATACAAATTGTGTGAATGCGGCAGCAACAGATCAACTTTTTTACCCAACTCTGTTGAGCGCCGCAACTAGGCCTACAACCGGCTACTACAATCACCGTGTTGATTGCAGCGACGCGACGCCGCGCCGCGCCGTCGGCGGGCTCATTGATGAACATAAATAATAGCGTTTTGATAAATAATATGTGATTGTTTTACTTATGTGTCTATATAGTTATTAATTTAAAGAAAACACTGCGTTTCTACAACTATTTACTTTTTGTATCAAATGAAAACAAAATTAAATCCCTTTATGAATGGTTTGAAAACCCGTGATTGAGGTTAGAAATTTGTTTTGAGAATTTACCTTGTAAAGTTGGTCACGTGACTAGTAAAATGCACTAGTATTTACTAGCGGTATAAAAACGTTTATGAAACACAAATTAGTAGGACAGGTAAATACGGGACTAGTATTTACTAGACTAGTAATTACTAGACTAGTATTTTTATGAAACAGGGCCCAGGCAGTCACTATAAGACTAAAATTTCTGAATTTACATGCAAAGTGTAACCACTTATCATCTTGAAATTAGGAGCATTTATAATGGACTGGATTGAAGTGCTGTAAACCAAAACTGTATTATAAAATAAAAATGGTAGACTTATGGTATGAAACACATAACTACAAGCCAGGTGAATGGACTGCTGTTTACCTTGAGGCCTCCGTCGTGGTCGTGGTTGAGAGGAGACGTGGCCCGACTGAGCGGAGGACTGCCTGAGCTGAACTTGCTGAGGTTGAGAGTCTCGTACTTGTGAGACTTGTCCGTCTTGTCCGACAGGATTGAGAGGTTATAGATGGACGACTGTTTGGACACCAAGTTCAAACACGCCCCGTCAGGTACCTGAAACCAGCAAAGTAGTCAAATACGCGTTTCCTAATCTACGTTCCATATAATAACTTTATCAACTGAATCATATCTTAATGAAGTTTGGCGCAATTATCCTTTGAATCAATCATCTTTACAGAGGAGTTCAAAGAATGAATAAACATTTTTATGATGTGGAGATTTAGACGGTTATTTCTTGCAGTTAAACTTTTAAAAATTACTAGAATATAAAAAAAACTAATATTGAAAAATGAGATGTCTGTCACATGAAAAATCACACAAAAAACAATGGATCTAGCTTTTGCTAAAAGCTATTATTAGCCTATCAAGGACTACTGTTAGCCTATTTCCAAGTTGATATGTGCTTTTAAAATTATGACGTGGGGCTTTCAAATTTTAACATCGATTGTTCTCCATGGCAAGTACAATAATTACAATGTCAAAATTTTTCAAATGCATATATTTGATTAAAACAAAACAAATAGACTATTATTTTGTATTACAATTCACTAATTCTGTGGTGATTAATGATATATAATCCTATTTTTTTACAGCAATTCTACCTCATTGCAAAGTATGGGTAAAGCTACTAGTAACAGATAAATACTCAATACTCAGACGTCAAGGCAATTGTTGTACAGTACAATCAGATTGGTATCAACAGTGAGCAAATCATACATAACAATTTTTGACAGTTATTAGGTTTATTTTACATATTTATTAATATTATTATTCTTAAAACGTTTATGTAGGTGCCTGCAAAACTATTTATTAACAAAAATGAAAAATGGCTTATTATCTATCACTACTTTATATATATTATTTTTAATTACAGCTTTTGGACAAATTAATCGTAGTCAGCAGTTTTTAGCCATTTGATAAGTTTTAGGTTCAGTAACAAATATAAATACAGTACTCCTATGGTGCTTTACAGAACATCAGTAGAACTATTTAATCCATAAAGTTTCTTGTTTTATCCACTGTATACATACCCTATAGTGATTGAGAGTATTACGCTTCTTCCATTCTCCTTCAGTCTTGGTTGTGCTGTCCTCATCGTAGAGAATCAGCCTACCAGAAGTACCAGTTCTCCACTCTGAAGAAATAACTTAAGTTCAATTTGTGTAAATTAACACTTTAAAACAGCAGACTAAAATCCATGGAAAATGCAATATGACTATCGCTTTAGAATTGTTAAAAGTTCAGATAGGTTTTTGTAGCTGGTAACAGAAGTAGCCTATCTGAGTGTTCAAGTCAACCAGGTTATGAAGTATAGATTGCCAGACATTTTCTTTTTGTTCAAGCAATATCTTTAAAAAAACTGGCTGAGTCTCAAAACCAGAAACTAAATTTACAACTGATAAGTTATTGTTGATAGTTTTTTTTCTGTTATGGCTGTCTTCCTCAGGCATTTTATAGTCTAAGACCAAGGCTCCGACCATGATAGGTTTTTGTTAACTTATCTTGTATTTTACACAGACAATAGTCTAAAACTGTTGATTTAGTATCATCGAAGTTATCATACTTCTTTCTTAAACAAAGATAATTTTGAAAGAAATACTGCAGTTTATATAGCATTAGATTCCACCCAAAAAGTTAATAAGGAATAACTAGGTGTTACTTCTTACATCCAAAATAACAAAGACAGTTTTCAGTCCTTGTTTTGCCAGTAATTTTTATACCACTACCAATCCTTGGTCAACTACCAGCAAGGAGAATAATTCTTATAAAAAAAGTATACAGTGATAGTAAGAATATTAATCAATTTATTTAAAATAACCATAGTAATACAAAATGGAACACCTACCGACATCTAAGTCGTCTTTACGTGGACGCTGGCTATATTGAACATTTCTATAAATGGTATCCAGAGCTTTCTCTTTAACTTGAGAAATTGTATCACAGTCGAGCACTTTGACTGGAACATTTTCTGTGTTAGGGTCAAGCCCTGTCACAAAGACAGTCTGCTGGGATATAGACACCAATACGGTCTGAAATGTAAAATAGCATTATTAGTACATATGTAACAGACTTACTGTCCCAAAAATAAGTATTAAACGTACACCTATTATTTATTATAGAAAACAAAAATCAAGTCTCATAAACTTTACAGATAACAAAGAAATTGATGTTATCTATTACTTTGTTTCCACCACTTGACCATCAAAATTTAAATCTAAAAACAACAAAACAGGTTTTTTTAAACAGCTATAACTAAAAAACGGTAAGAGCTAGCAAAGATTTGAAAGAATTTTCATGGTCATGAATAAAATTTTCTACAAAACACTCTTTGGCGTTTTTGGAAATTACACTCCTTCACCTTCAAAAAACACCCTACTTTCAAAAATTGGTAAATTTCTTGAAAATTTGAATTGGTTTCCGCTACTTTTACCTACCTAAGTATTTTTTTTGCAAATATTATTAGTGCTCTGTACTCTCCTTAGTTTACGTTAAATTTTACTCATTTCATGTTTTTTCGTAATTTAACTCCTTGACCCCCAAAACTTAGGTTTAATGTCAAAATATAAAAGGTTTTACCACTTTAAGAGCCCCGTGTTATTCTTATGGAGAATAACATTAAAAATTTAAAGACTTTGGTATGCTCATCTGAATCGTTTAGACACGTGCTAGACTTGAAATTTAAATAGGGTGTGGAATGTCACCCTAAGATATTCAGAAAATTTCCAAAAGTGCCATTTTCAAATTTGAACCCCTTAAAAATCCATAATGGCGGTCATCTGAAAACGACAAAACACGTTTTTTTTACGGCTATAACTTAAAAACGGTAAGAGCTGGCAAAGATTTGAAAGAATTTTCATGGTCAGGAATTAAATTTTCTACAGAAACCTTGTAGGCGATTTCCAAAAATCACACCCCTTCACCCCTAAAAAAACGGCCTACTTTCAAAAATTGGTAATTTCTTTTCAAATTTGTAATGGTTTTCGCTACTTTTGTCTACTTACTAAGGTATTTTTTTTTACAAATATTATTAATGCTTTGTACTCTCCTTAGTTTACTTTAAATTTAAGTAACTGCCTACATAATATTTCGTAACTTTACTCCTTAACAACTAGTGATGGGCGGATCCAAGAAAATGTCGGTACCGGATCCGGATCCGGATATTGAAAAATTTGGATCCGGATCTTCGGATCCGGATCCAGATACACACTAACATAAGGGCTGGTTAAAAAAAACGTAATTAACAGAATGCCAATTTAAATCATACTGTTTAAAATTAAATAGGTAAAGTTTAAAGGTTAATATATATTATATATAGAGTAATCTCCAGTTGAGCCCATAATCCCTCATTTTTTAGGAACACTAAAACTTTTCCAAATCTTAAAATAAAACTATTAGTTGATGATATTAGTTGGGCAATGTCACAAAACTGTATACTACGACGTCAATAGCCTGTATGGTTAGGCAATGTCACAGTACTGTATATTACAATGTCAATAACCTATATGGTTGGGCAATGTCACAGTACTGTATATTACGACGTCAATAACCTGTATGGTTAGGCAATGTCAAAGTACTGTATATTACGACGTCAATAATCTCTATGGTTGTGCAATGTCACAGTACTGTATATTACGACGTCAATAACCTGTATGGTTAGGCAATGTCACAGTACTGTATATTACGATGTCAATAACCTCTATGGTTGGGCAATGTCACAAAACTGTATATTACGACGTCAATAACCTGTATGGTTAGGCAATGTCAAAGTACTGTATATTACGACGTCAATAACTTCTATGGTTGGGCAATGTCACAAAACTGTATATTACGATGTCAATAACCTCTATGGTTAGGCAATGTCAAAGTACTGTATATTACGACGTCAATAACCTGTATGGTTAGGCAATGTCAAAGTACTGTATATTACGACGTCAATAACTTCTATGGTTGGGCAATGTTACAGTACTATATATTACGACGTCAATAACCTCTATGGTTAGTCAATGTTACCATATGTGTTATATGCCTCATAATTCTATTCTAAAAAATATATTCTCAAATTCCAATCTTTTCTTAAGATTCGGTTGATTCGAGATCCGGATTTGATACATCCCTAGTCGTAATATACAGTACTGTGACATTAAACCCCCCAACAACTCACACACAGCCCCCATACAGTACTGTGACATTGCCTAACCATACAGGTTATTGACGTCGTAATATACAGTACTGTGACATTGCCTAACTATAGAGGTTATTGACGTCGTAATATACAGTACTGTGACATTGCACAACCAAAGAGGTTATTTTTTTTTTTTTTTTTTTTTAGAAATCTTTATTGTTTTTTCCATACACAATACAAAATACATTTACACATGAAAAAAGAAAAAAACAATAACCACCTTAGGTTAAAAACCTATGTTGGTGGATTTATACACTATCTTATGTTCTAAAAATCGAAGAGGCGGTTTTGTCCGGTCACTTATATCACTTGGTTATAATATATACAGTGAGAGTGAGTTCTACACAGTGATCTTCTTTCTTCAGTACAGAGTAAAAGTCAATACACTTACAAACAAAAATGATACAACAGAGTAAGTATTTATATTACTTATTATCTATATTAGTCACTTCTATACTACTGTATATATACTAAATTCCATAAAAGTACATTTCAGCATTTTCCAAACATAATAAATAAGGCCACAGCTGCCTAGAAAAATCTGCTTCTGAGATGGTTTTGAGATTGGATGGTAGAGCATTAAACATTTTAGGTGCAAGGTATAAATAAAATTTCTTGAAAGCTGTTAAATTTGGTTTTGGAACTATTGCATTATACCTATTTCTTAATGTTATTCTCCTTTCAGACATAGATTCAACCTCATCTCCACTTCTTTTATAAAATATTTGTAAAACTTTATACATATATAGATTTCTCAAAGGCAAAATTTCTAACTTTTTAAATAGTGGTGCTGCATGTTCTGTTCTACATTTGTTACAAATTATCCTTATAAAGGTTTTTTGCAAGACAATTAATGGCTTAATTGACGAAAAGTAAGCTCCTCCATAGATAGCTAAACCATACTCCAATTTAGAATTTATCATCGCATAATAAATATTTCTGAGTAGGCGTTGATTACACATATTTTTTAACATATAAAATATCCTGACGTATTGTATTAGTTTATTCTTAACATAATCTATATGGCGTTTCCAATTTATCTTTGAGTCTAAGTGTAATTCCAGATATTTAATTTCCTCTACTTGCTCAACAACAGGACAATCACAATTTGTAGATTGGCAGTTTGTTTGGTGGTATTTTATCGGAGTAATAAAACTTATGTTCCTTGATAGATTAAAAATTACATATTTAGTTTTTGGGCTCATTACCATGAAGTTGTTGGTAAACCACCATCGAAGAGCATTTACATCGTATTGAATATTTAATTTTAAAGTTTCAATGGAATCTGATTTGTAAAATAATGCAGTGTCATCCGCAAAAGCCACTAAATTTCCTCTAAAACGGCTATTACACAAGCTATTTACGTATATTAGAAAAAGAGGGCCAGATAGAACAGATCCCTGTGGAATGCCATGTAATACAGTTCCTTGGTCACTAATCACGCCGTTCGCCCGTGTACGTTGAGTACGTCCAGTGAGATAAGAAGCAAACCATTTATGAGGCACACCTCTTATCCCAGGTTCATGAAGTCTATCCAACAAAATACCATGACCTACAGTATCAAAAGCTTTCATGACGTCGACAAAAATGCCAGCACAATATTTACCTTCATTTAAACCTCTATACACTTGACTCATAAAATGTAATAACGCCGAATTAGTGCTTAGTTTTTTCCTGAACCCAAACTGCCCATCACTAAAATATTTGTACTTTTCTAAAAAATTTATTAGTCTAGTCTTACATATTTTCTCAAACATTTTAGAGAATATAGATAAAAGAGCAATTGGTCTGTAATTGCTTGGATCTGTTTTAACACCCTTTTTGAATAACGGTTTTACAATAGCTGTTTTTAAATCATTGGGAAATTCACCTGAATATAAACTAAAATTTATTAAAAAAACAAGAACCTCAACAATATAAGTAGAAATTTTCTTAATAATCAAAGGAGTAATATTATCATATCCTGGTGCTTTCCTGTTTTAAGCGATTTGATTATGCCAATAACCTCGTTTTCGCAGGTTGGATAGAAAAATATTGAATTGTTACATGTAGTTGTCTGAAACATGGGTTTATATTCGTTTACTAGCTGGGGAACTATCTGTTGTTCTAATATAATACTTTCTCTCAACTCCGTTGCTATAGAACAGAAGAATCTGTTTAATTTATTTGCAGCTGCTTCAGGGCTTGTAATTAACTCTTTATCGTCACCTTTCAATACAATAAGTTCTGCATCTTTCTTATTTTCTCCAATAAGGGTTTTGATTGTGTTCCATTGTTTCTTAGGATTTTGATTATTTTCGACTAATATTTTGCTGTAGTACTCATTCTTTGTTAATCTTACTTGGTTTATTACATAATTTTTAAAAACATTAGAATTATTCTTAAGCTCTACATCATGTGGCTGTTTTTTACATTGAATATGCATCTTATTTTTCCTATTTATAATTTTTAAGAGTATAGTATTGATCCAGGGTTTAAACTTATCATTCTTACTTCTACTTATTCTCTTAGTAACATATGACTCATTTATACACTGCTTAAAAATACTCATAAATAAACTAAATGCTAGTGAAACGTTTTCGGCTAAATAAACTGAATCCCATGAGACACTTTGTAGCTTTAATGCCAATTTATTGAAATCAATTTCTTCTTTCTGTGACACTAAATTTGCTTTACGTGTAGGTAAATTGACCTTCATACAAGTAGCTGTCATCCTGTGATCAGTTATTCCCGTATCAATAACAAAACTTGCACATTCAATATTTAGTTTTCTTTCACTTCTAAAAAATATGTGATCAATACACGAATCAGAATTTTCAGTTACCCTAGTTGGATCAGATATTAATGAAAGTAAACCATAACTAGCTATCGTAATCAAATAATCATCGTTAAGTCGATTTCTCTCAAGTATATTTATACTTAGGTCACCACTTATAACTAAATTATTATTTTTAATTGATGACAAACAAGATTCAAGTTCATTTACAAATCTATCTACTACAAAATCTTGTAATCGATAAATTGCTAACACATCGAGTGTAAATTTGTGGGAAACGGTTATTGATAAATGTAAGCAGTCAGCTGTTTCAAAGTCAAGGTCAGGAATCACGTGACATGCTAAACGGTCTGACACAAATACCGCAACTCCTCCCGACCGATAACTATTATTACATTTTGTAAAAAGATTATAATTTGGTAGACTGTATTGATTTTGATCATTGTCCAATATCCATATCTCAGATAAGATAATTATATCAGGGAATGTGTCTAGGCTTTCTAAACTCAAAGCAAATATATCAAAGTTGCTTCTCATACTTCGAATGTTTTGTTGTACAATAATCAAATTACCTGAATAGTCTGCAAATATTTTGTTATCAAAATTAAGACAATCTTTCTTTATGTTTATGACTGGCATAAATGTTCAAATAAAAAAAAAAAACACTCACTAACATTACACTGCAAAACAAAGTAATTAATTTTAAATATTAAAATAAACATAAAAATACCACAATGAGGTATTTGAAGCTCTAGTAGTCTAGAGGCTCTATGCAGTCTCCTGGATGTCATCTTCGGTTGTGGTTGTCTTATTGTCCTCCAATTCCGTCACTTGTTCCAGTGTCGTGAGAACGATAACATTTTCATTGTCTTTCTTGCGAAGTAGGATTTTTCCATTGCGAACCCAAAGATATTTGAAGCCCATTTTCTTCTTTAGATCTTTTGCTGCATTTAACACTTTCCGCCTGTACGATGTTAGGTTTTCGTTGAGATAAACAGTTTCCTTCGGTGTGTCATTATATCCAACGTCCCTTGTGCTCAGGTCTTGTTTCTTCCTACGTCTCTTCAGAATTTTGTCCTTAGTCATTCTTCTAGTAAATTTCACTATTATTCCTCTGGAGCGCTTGTTTTATTTTTTTCCAACTCTATGGCATGCATCTACCATTTCGTCTGTAATCATGAAGTCAAGACTAGATCCTACTTTCTTAACTATTTCTAGCACATCTTTGTCTTTAGTTTCCGGTATGTTATTTATTTCGACACAGTTTAACCGACTATATTGTTCCATATCTTCAAGTCGTTGTTCTAGGATATTCACTTTTTCTTTTAACTTTAAGTTTTCTTGACACACTACACTATACATATTGTCAAAGTTTTTTAAAGCTTCCGATTGTTCCTTTACCACTTTTGTTAGCTCCTCTATTTTCTCATGTCCTGATTCAACTGATTTACCTGTCCCTCTCCAACTCTGTTATTCGCTGATTGTTTTCTTCGCGCATTTCACACAGGAGTTCTAGAACATCCTTTATACTAGGGTCACTTTTAGCTAGTTCGGATCCCATTCGCATACTCTTTCGACGATTTTGAGAACGTGGTGAACATCTCCAGACTTCACCTTCTTGTAAATAAAACTCAACATCACTATCCGCTAAATTAACACAACTACCATGAAACATCTGTTTGCAGTCTTGGCATTGGATCTTGGCTTTTCTACCGGACACTGATTTTAAACAAACGTTACACTTACTCATTTTTATTAATTTCCTTAACAAAATAACTTTTATAGAAGATACTAATTTCAATTTATAACTTGAATAAAACCACTGCACTATGTTATCTCTAGAGATAAGGGACCGGCCCGCCGAACGTCCGCCTGCTTCGAAGTCTCGATCATTACTGATCATTACTGTTATTGGCGTTGTAATATACAGTACTGTGACATTGCCTAACTATAGAGGTTATTGACGTCGTAATATACAGTACTGTGACATTGCCCAACCATACAGGTTATTGACGTCGTAATATACAGTACTGTGACATTGCCCAGCCATACAGGTTATTGATGTCGTAATATACAGTACTGTGACATTGCACAACCATAGAGGTTATTGGCGTCGTAATATACAGTACTGTGACATTACCTAACTATAGAAATTATTGACGTCGTAATATACAGCACTGTGTCATTGAGTAAATAATCGGGAAAAATCGGTCTTTTACATGGATACAGACAGCTTTGTTTTAGTAAAAAAATCGGGGAAAATCGGAAAAAACGGATCCATCAAAACCGGATCCAGCCCAAGATCCGGAATTTTTTGGATCCGATCCGGTGCCGGTTCTAGCTTGGATCCGGCGAATCCGGTGGTCCGATATCCGGATCCGACCATCACTATTAACAACCATGTTATGCCAATTATAGTGTCTTAGGCCTTGTATTTTTTTCTACTGGTTGATGTCAAATGTACAAGATGTTTATACTTGTTTTGTCAAAAAAATTCTTGATTCTTGATAATTCAATGGCAAAAGGCATGTCTCAAGCTAAATTTCTGATTAAGGATTTTCTTTAGTAAGTTATTTTAAGTTAAGAGAACAAAAATTTAATTTGTGTTTGTAAGGTGAACTAATTATATTTATGATTTAAGATCCTTATATTTATGAAAATTCAGTAAAAACAATATAAACCTACATTACTTATCAGACTTATCATTAATGTGATGAAGTTCAACAGTAGGCTAAATTTAAATCAAAACTCAAATGATTAATTGGATGAGTCCAATTAGAAAATTTATTTTGCTATACAAGGAGAAAATGAAAACAACCTAATTTACTATCAGAATATTAATCTGTTTGTTTTTGTTTTTTGCTCATATTATCAGCTTTAAGGGTTTTTAGCGGTTTCCCCAAATTTCATTATATAAATCAGAGACGTACCATTGGTTTAAAATCTATGGATTGTCGAATGAGTTTCTCTTCACTGAGAGAATATCTGGCCTCGGAAGTGATGGCGTCAACCGGCCCCTTGTCTACTTGCTGCTTCATGGCACGGAACAACAAATACAACGGCTCTCCAGCACACTCACGTAGAAACTTGTATAGCAGGAACGTAAACCATGCGGACAACATCTTCTCTGCCACACTCTCCGTTCTGAAACATAAATCCGTTCACTATCTGACACATCCAAGATCTTTTGACAAAATGACTCAGTACAGAATGACATATGTTTGGTTTCTATCAGAATTTGTATATCACTGATCTGAAATTCTAAGAATGAAATATGTCACTGATAATGTATTGACAAGTAACCTCAAAGATCAGTTGAAAACAGGCAACTATTTAAACATGTAAAATACTAGAGAAACATATGTATGATTTAGGTTATATGAATATAAAACTCAGCTGCATTTATATTAATGCTTCATTCAACATTGTTTCCTAATAAAATAAATTTGACAAACTTGGCTGAAAACAGGAGAAACTAACACTTATGAACACGACGATCAAAACTAAATCGGTGTTAAACTTATTTGAATGTTGCAACTAATGTTGAATGTTGACATTTATATTAATGCTTCATTCAACATTGTTTCCTAATAAAATAAATTTGACAAACTTGGCTGAAAACAGGAGAAACTAACACTTATGAACACGACGATCAAAACTAAATCGGTGTTAAACTTATTTGAATGTTGCAACTACAAAAGCTAAAGCTTTCAAAATGTCTATTCTCTTTGTCTTGTAGTTACCAAGAGTGTTATCTCTAAATATTATGTCTGCTCAATCAAAAATATGCAATATTGCTATCAGTTAAATGAGAGTTAAACTTAACACATTGAACCCTAAGCCCGAGTATAGGTCGGGGTATGACGTAAGACACACTGAACTAACCCCGAGTATAGGTCGGGCTTCAATATTAAATTCCATAGCAACGTAATGACGTCACATTTGCTATTTTTGTTATTACGTAACCATTCCTTGGTCATCTGGCTTCGATTGTAATACCCCACAACCTAAAAAAAACCAGCTGTTTGGTAACACAAAAAAAAGATCCAGCTGTCTGCAGCCTTGCATCGTATTGCTTAGTGATGACGACGACGACGCTTTGTTGTTGTTGTCTGCGCTAATGGCTGTCTTTGTTTACAATCGTTTATGTGTTCAATAAAGTGAATGTTTTATGTTTTTTACAAGTATTATGATTGCGTAATAGTTCTTGTTATGAGCAATACCTTGTTGTGGATAATTTTTATTGTGTTTAGTGTCAAATATGAGCGATATATTTGATAAAAAAACGTTGAGTCATATTCGTGAACTCTTGTCAGAATCAGACCATAGTGATGAAGAAAATCAATCTTTTAGTGAAAATAATTACTTATGTTCAGGACCTAGTTCTACTACAATATCAGTAAATGAAAACTTGAATGATCCTATTTATGATTCTGGTTCGGAAGGTGAGTTTGTTGTAAGTAATTTAGATGCTTTTCAAAATGAGGTTAGTGCAGTTACATACATGGTTGATGAAAATGATCCTGATGAGTTGGTGTTTTATGATTTACTACCAAGTGACATAGACAATGATGACTGTAAAAATGAATCAATTTCAGTAGTTGAAGAAGATGAAAGTAGAAACTTAGGCCCAATTAGATGTAAATATAACCCTAGGCCTACAATTTACTCTGATGAAGAAAACTGTGATGAACCAGAAACAGTTCTAGACACTACTAGGCCTACAGATGGTATACCATTTAGGCCTAACCCTCTTGAAATTAGTCATGAACAACCACCCAATCAGCCTAATCATAAAATCTGCAAAAACAGAAAATTACTTAGGCCTAATAGTTCGATAGTTTCTTCGGATGACGAACTGTGTGATCCTGATTTCGACAATGTTGACAAAGATCCTGATTTTCTACCTAGTGATCGTGAAGATAATGTCTTACAGCCTTCAGCTACTTCTTGTTTAGGTTCTCTTAGGCCTAATAAAGTAACCAACCAAGTAAAACGCCGGTCAAATAGTACTAATTATAATCGTAAAACCAAAAGACATCGATCTATATCGCCAAATGAAAACTTACCGGATAATGCAAATTTACCTGTGCCAAATGAAAACTTTGAACATGAACCGGAGCAGACTCAACCAAGGAAAAAGAAGAAAAAAAAACCCACTGATGAGGAACTTGGATGGCGGTTGGAGGACAACCCACCGCCACTACCAGCATTTGACGAGTTAGGCGCTGGTGTTACGGCTGCTATTGATGAGAACTCAACTCCATTTGATGTGTTTTCTATATTTTTTCCTGAATTTTTTATCAAATCATTGAAGTCAGAGACAAATAAATATGCCAAATCTATAACCGATAAACTAAGAAGATCAAACAAATTGAAGAAAAATAGTGTCTGGTCAAAATGGACAACCGTAAAGCTTTATGAAATTTACCATTTTTTCTCGATTGTATTGCACATGTGTGTTGTGAAAAAACCTAAACTTAGTGACTATTGGTCAACAGACAATTTTATAAAATCTATGTATGCTCCATCAGTCATGGCCAGGGATAGGTTCCTAGCAATTTTGGCAAATTTTCACATCAACGATAATTCAACATACATCCCATTCAACACTCCAGGCCACGATCCGTTACATAAACTAAGACCATATATAGATCTTTTGCTGACTTCTTTCCCAATGTGTTTTTCACCGTACGAAGATTTGACCATAGACGAAGGAACTTGCGGATTCAGGGGTAGAGTTCGGTTTAGAGTTTATAATAAAAGTAAGCCTGACAAGTACGGGATGAAATTATATGTTTTGTGTGATGCATCTACAGGATATGTTCTAAAATTTGAAGCCTACACCGGTAAGTCTGACTCCAGTAATACAGTTGTAGCTCTATATGAGAGATTGTTGGCAGATTACCTCAATAAAGGACATACTATTTATAATGATAGATTTTACTCTTCACCAAAGCTTTTTGACTTTCTCTGGGAGAAAAATACTAAAGCAGTCGGTACCTGCATGAGCAATAGGACCGAGTTGCCCAAGACTGTCACCACTAAAAAGCTACAAAAAAATGAAACTGTTTTCATGAGAAGAAACCATTTACTCTGCATAAAATGGAAAGATACTAGAGATGTCTTAGCTCTATCAACAGCTCATAAAATGACTACATCAGAAGTTACGGTGCGTACAAAACAAGGGATGTTGCAAAAACACAAACCAGATCTGATTTTGGATTACAACAATAAAAAAACAGGTGTGGACAGAAATGACCAGTTTATTTCCTATTACCCTTTCAAGAGGAAACAGATGAAATGGTGGAAAAAAATGTTCTTCCACTTGTTTATGATGTCAATTGTCAACGCATTTATCTTATATCGAAAAACCAGACCTGCAAACCTGAGACCCCTCTGTCACCTTGAAAAATTTATAATAGCAATTGGAAAATCATTGAGCGAAAAAGCAGGGACTTTATTACAAGAAGAGGAAACTGCAAGAGCCACAAAATCTGATCGACTTATTGGACGTCATTTCCCTGACAAAATCCCCTCTACGGACAAGAAAAAAAATCCTACAAGAATTTGCAAAGTGTGTTCGGAAAAAAACAAAGTTTCTACAGGAAAATCTGGAAGAAAAGAAACTTCTTGGTGGTGTCCAGAGTGCCAAACACCATTGTGTGTGCCTGAATGTTTTAGACTGTATCATACCAAAGCAGACTATAGTAAAGCCTAGGCTAGATGTGCTTGGGAACTGATACGACAACGACATTTCAATTTCTCGTGTTATAATATGTAAGGTAAGCAATATAACTATATACATGTATATATTTCCTGAAAGGGCATGTTGTTCTCTTCAATTTCACATGATATAAATGCCATAATTATGCTAAAGTAAATATTAAATACTTTTTTAATTAGGTTAGTACTTGCGGTTGCAATTTTTGTTTTTCTCAATTTTTTTTGTTATTTCAAACTGAAACCCTGTAATTTATAGCCTACGGTAATGTAATAAAATATATGTCATTTAAAAGCTTATTATTTTCTCTTTAATTTGATATATTATTCACCAGAAAAAAAGTTTTTTTTTACCAAGCTACAAATTTTTAATAATACCCTAAAATTGCCCAGTAACGCCCATACTAAGGGCATTTTGCGCTCAGGGTTAAAAGTGTTAACAAAACTATCCTAGTTTTACAAAAGTCCAAAAAACTTAACAAAATGAAAAATCAGATTTCTGACCTGCGGAGCAAGAGTTTAGGGTGGCTTTTACCCTCCATACACTTCTCAATCAGTTCAGCAAGTAAAGTCTTGAGTATATCTGTACAATAGTCCATCTTGCTCTGAAGTGTAACCATGATCAGAGAAGCGACGTTTACTCTGTAAAATATAAAATAAATCAATACATTGACCAGTCAAGGGTGATATAACCAAACAAGCTACCAGATCTTAGCAGTACGAATCTCATATTCAACTAGTACCTATCTAGAGCTCCAAATAACCTGATTTGAGTTTTAATGCAACATTTGTTTGGGCATACCATATTGTTTAGAAAAACAACTATGGTTATAAAGAGGGTGTCTAGTTTATCTCCATTTTAAAATTCAAAACTAATTCCAGACTTTTTAAGACTAATTCCAGATTTTTCAAGACTAGTTTTTTCAACAATTAGCGGTGTGTTAGAACCAAAATGTTCGATTCTCGATTCTTGATACCAAAACCAATTTTTATAGTTTAACCAAATTTTTGAAATATTTTGGTTATACTACACTCACCCCTGTCTTTATGTCATCATAAAGCACTATTAAGATAACGGGGTTTTTTCAAGTAAAGAAAAAATGCAGCAATAAAAAATTCTAACAAGCCAATTTGGGTTTTTTGGGATCGATTGTGTAGACATCATCATTGACTGCCACTGACACGGAAACGTCATCGTCGTCGTCCGCGATCGTGGCAAAATCATGAACATCTTCTGCAGCCGTGTAGACATCATCATTGAATGCCGCGGTCACGAAAACGTCATCGTCATTGTCCGCGATCAAAATCATGAACATCTTCTGCAGCCATGTAGACATCATCATTGAATGCCGCGGTCATGGACGTTTGTCTTATTGAATTGATTAAATATGCCTACGTTTGTCTTAGTTGTCGTCAGTGATTGCAGCAAAATCATGAACATTTCCCGTGGCTGTGTGGACATAATCGTCGTCTCCCACGGTCTCGGAAACGTCATCATCATTGTCCGCGATCGTGGAAAAATTATGAACATTTCCCGCGGCCATGTAGACATCATCATTGACTCCCACGGTCACGGAAACATCTTCGTTGTCGTCCGCGATTGCGGTAAAATCATGAAAATTCCCAACTTTCCCGTTTTTCCCAACTACTAGACACCCTGTATAAAGGTATTAACATTTAACTTATTTCATTTCATATAACATTTTAAAATGAAAACCTATCCAAAGAAACTTGGGAAAAACATTATTTTGAATATTTGTGCTGTATGAGTTTCCTAAAGGCATTATACATATTTTTAATACAAATTTTTTCTTTAAATTCAGAGCTCATTTTCACTTTTTAGCATTCAATAGACAGCTCAATACAGGCAGATTTTTCAAATTTATTAATTTGATCAATAATGACAAAACTGTCAGTAGATTGTTAACAATTTCAAAAGTCTAAAATTAAGAAAAAATTGGATGAAGGGACTTTCGTTTGGTTGAATGACTTTAAAATAATGTGTAAGCGGTGAGTTAATTACTGTTTTATTGGCCTGATTGAAAAGCCAATTTTATGTTCTGATTATTTTGTCCCAGCCAAGTCATAGGAGGCATGAATAAATCAATCTTAAAAGAAGATATTTTGGCTATACTGTAATATTATGTTAGAAGCTGAGGATGTTTATAAAAAAAACATGATAAATAAATGGTGACTTTAACGTTACCAACCTATTTGGGCGATCGGGTAATGAGAAGTGACTTAACCTTTCCACATAGAAATTATCCATTAATATATTATGTTATGGCCTTAAGTTTCAATATAGTTTATTCGTCTAGTATTTGCTTTTAGAAATCACACGACTTGAAAACATCCAATGCTTCACGGTACAGTACTGGTTTTTTATAGCTGAAAAGATGAAATAAAAGCTTCATAATCTGTATTTTCAATTTTTCACAATTTGAGAGTCTCGTACCTGTCTCTCATAGAGAAGTAGCGGTTACTCTCGAGAGTGCGGATGAAGAGCAGCAGGAACGTCTTGTTGAGTATCAGCTGACCGAACAACCGCAGCCCTTTGTCGTTACGCAGCAGCTCAGGTCGTTCCCATTGTAGAACTGCGTGATCCTCAGTGCTGGGGAACAGGATCTTCATGGCGTACGTGCGGTAGTCTAGGAACGGAATACCTCCGGAGGTAAGATCTCCAGTCAGATCTGTCATCTCAGTCTGTAGCTCGGCAAAAGCTATAACAAACATGCCACTTAGATATTGTGGTAGAGAAGAATAGAATAGAATATAACTTTATTGCCCCAATAAAAGACATTTTCAGTGTTGTAGCACAGCTGGGAAAAAGGTAGTCAATATTCTTGAAATCAAAGAGGATCATTGATAAAATGATAAACTTTGGATAAAAGATGAGATAAAAAAAGAGATTTCATGAATTACATTGATTCTTGAAGGTAGATTACTAAAAAGTAGGGATGGACGAGATTGGATTTTTAGTTCGAGACGAGACGAGACGAGATTTTTTATTTCTCATAAAATTTCGAGACGAGATCGAGACGGGATTTCCCTTCTCATACACAACGGGAAATGCACGTTCAAAATTTTTACCTGATTTTGTAACATTGTTAGATGACTGTTTAAATACAAAAATACCCCCGCCGCAGCAAACCTGCAGACTAAGCGAATTTCAACTTGTCTGATTACATTTTTACTCAAATATTTCCATAAATAAGACATATTTATTCCCTATTTAAATAACATTAGGTTTAACAAGTGCTTAGGTTTGCTGCTACAGGGAAGGTAAAAAGTGATACGTGAATAGTATGGGATGAAATAAATAAATTTGCCAAATTTTATCAATATATATCCATAAACAAGTAAACTACAACAATTTTTATTTTCTCCATAAGAATAACATGGGAATTTTAAATTAAACTATTTTTGAATTTTCTCCGTGACCGTTAGGCATACAACAGCGCTTCAATATACTAAATTATTTCTTTTTTTAAGCTCTACAAAACGGTTTAGAAAGAAATTACAAATTTTTTTGTTTTTAGGGTAAAAAATGGGAAAAACACATTTTTACCCCATAAAACCCCCCATAAACCCCTGTTCCCATGATCCGATTATGCTGGATCGCGAACTCGTTCGAATAAACGCAGGTTTACACGTTTGTACCAAATTTCATCAAAATCGGATCATTTTTGCTCGAGTTATCGCGCTAACGGACACATATATATATATATATAAATATATCTATATCTATAAAAGAGGAACTATGTATGTATATATATGTGTATATACGTTATGGACTCCAAAACCGCTCGACAGATTGTAATGAAACTTTCAGGCATTATTAAGCATCTTTCAAGGATGGTTCGAGTGAAGTTTGGTGCAGATCCGTCAAAAGGGCTCTGCCCCAGAGGGTTTTAAGTGGGCCAATGTTAGACTTTTTGATCTACAATGTTTACAAATAAATATAATTTGAAAGCAGATGTTTACTTTCACCAACTGTTTTGTAGGCTTGAATAATCACAACATTCTGTATTTTATATATATATATATATATATATATATATATATATGAATTTGAACGGATGGTGTTTTTGGCCTCTAGGGACCTCAAAACGAAAAAAAAATCGGTCCCGCGTCCAGGTCTTACCATGAGTACTACGGTAATAGCTTATTCCCTATATGGGAAATTCGCTAATAATGATAATAGGCAAGAATATTTACAATCTTTTATTAAAAAACATCAGCATAACATTTTTTTATTAATCACGCCTAACTTATTAAAAATGCCTACGATTAGAAAACATAGTGATATCAGTTAGGATAGAGTTCAACTTATCCTAAAATAAAATAAATCATAAAATAAAAGCAATATTAATTTTTATAAAATAGTTACTTGTTTTGACTTTTTATAGTACAGTAATAAAACATTCCTCACACTGCTTACACTTAACAAAACTTCTCAAATGTTATTAAAGTAATATTATTAAAATAATTAAAGAATTAATTAAATAAGAACGCCTTCGCATAGGAAACGCAACTACAACACGCTCCTGTATTGCGGGTATTGCATTGACTTTCTGCAGGCGTTTTTAATTTTTATTTTTTATTCTCGTCTCGATAAAAATCTCGGCCAAAAAGAAATCTCGTCTCGTGTAACGAGATTTAAAATTTCCCGAAAATTTCCCGAAATTTCGAGACTTGACCATCCCTACTAAAAAGTTTTAAATTTATAAAATAAGGTGATTTTCCAAATAAACAGAGGCAGTGTCTTGGGTATTGGAAGCGATTTTTTAAACGGGCGAGATAGTCCAAGCTGATTCATTCTGTATGATCGTAAATTGTTTATTTATTTTTTTTATCTTAAGTTTTGAATATATTAGACTCATATGATTCAAACAAAGGTTTAAATATGTTCTTTTTTAGCAAAAAGTACAATTCTCAAATAATTTGTATTCTAAAAATTGACACTACATATGAAGCTGAGCCCCCATAGCTCAGTACCATATTGCATGTTTTTATTATTGTTGTTTTTGAGAATGTTATTGTTAAGTTATCTTAATATTCATATATAATCTATTTTCATGGTTGCTTTCCACACAAAATCACAAAATAAGACTAGACCTAGCTTATTAGTCTATTAATAACCAAACTGTTCTTTGAGGACTGTCTGTAAATTAAGGCCTCCATTGGTGCTCTAGTCATGGAAAAGTGAGCTAGTTTGGATCTGAGAGCTAACTGTGTTACTTTTTTCATCTAGTATTATTTTAGCTGGTTTCCACATTAATATGACGATTAATCTTGTCTTAGTGGCCAAACCCCCGTGAAAGAAAGTCATCTCCCGCAAGTACAAATAACCCTTTGTGTTGTGTGGTCTTATGACTGAAAAAATGTAACTTTTACAAAGCCTAATTTTTGTTTCCCCATTTTTACTTTAATTTACACTTTAGTAGATTGCATTAAACACTGCCACACCAGAGTGCATCTTTGAAGGCAAAGATGACTCAAGGATGAATGTTGAATGTATGAGATGATTGATAACTTGATTCTGACAATGATCAGTTGGTCCTTTAGCCAGGACCTTATATTAAAAGACCATTTATTAAGGCTAGTTGGGTATTGTCAAATGAGATGGACACAATACCTGAATATGTTTTTTGTATCAAACAACAATATAAGCAAATAATGATTATTCTTGTACCTTCTTTGCATTCAGCAGCCACCCTGAGCTCAAGAATGTCCATCTGCTCCTGCATGTTCTTGAGGACTCTATTGCTCTCGGTAGACTTGCGTCTGTATGCAATGAGGAATGCAATGAAAACAACCAGAAGCAGCAGAATGCCAGCTATGACTCCAAACATGGCTGGCTTGCTGAGGGGACTGTTGATGCCTGTAGGAGATTCATAGCTGAGCCGGCCAATCGTGTACCGAAGAGCCCCTCCAGCTCCCACTACAACCTGTACCAAAACAAAATGTGTTAGTAAGATTTTCAATAGCTGTTCTTTGAGCTAAAAAATGTTCTTAGCAATTTTCCAGCTTTTTCATCAAGTAGGTAACACTCAATATGGGTTTGATTTTCAACCATTGATTTATGGCACTATTCCTATGTTTAAAGACTTTACTGATAAACTGTATTTTAAGTTTTAACTGAGACTTTTTAGACCACAACATTCCCTCACATTATGGCACATCTACAATAAGCTGTCACTATCATAAACTTCAGTTAGTTATAATAAAGTCTGTTGACAACATTTAGGCGGTTTGAGGGAAGTTCCCCCACTACTGTTTTTGCTTAATATATGTGTTGCAGCTGATTTACGTTATGGCAAACCTCAGCTGTTGAGCTATTATTTTAAAAATAGAATCAAGTGGAGGGGATAGATTTCTTTCCCTAAAACCGCCTAAATTTTGTGTATAAGTTCTGATTGCATTTTGCACCCATAACAACAATTGGGTACTTACAAAGGACGCATATTACAATATTTTCAAGTAATAGTGTCACTAAGGTTCATAACTCCAACATATTTATATTTTATTGGAATGTTTGTTTAGTAGTGTTGGGTGTGGAAAAATAAACTTAGTTGAAGAATATTTCAGCATTTTGTATTGAAAAAGAAGCCTATACTATTTTTGGACTCAATGTGACTACTTTTTTTCTTTAAAACAATTATGGTAGGTACTCAATTCTCAACAATTTAGTATGTTCTCAAGATACTTTAGTGAGTCAATACTTATTTCAGATTATCATGCTTTTCATACTGTTATAACATATTAAGGTGATTAAAAAAAAAGATGTTTGCATCTAACTCAGTTGTATTTCAAGGAAATTAACACGTTTCTAACCGTTGTCATTTATTAGTTGCTAGTGGCTATAGGTAGATGAAGTTGATAATTTATTGATTAGGTAATTAATTTTAAATCTAAAAATACAACTACATTTAACGATTCAGTTTAAATGTAACAAAGAACAGAAAAGTAAAACACTGTGACTGTAAATGTAAGGGAAAACACAGAATCAAAATGCAATATAATGAACAAAGGAGCTTACCTAAATATATAATCATTAATCAACACACAAAAGAAAAGAACACAACATTCACACAATCTTGATACAAGACTTTTATAAAATGAATTTACTCGGGACATAAGTATTAGTGATGTTAAATTTATTTGTTCGTAGATTGATACTAAACAACTAATGGTACACTTTAGGCTTAACCCAAACTGACCGTTTTTTTTTAATAAGCTTTTAAAGAGAACGTTTTACTCAGTATCTGGATTGTGTTGAGAACAAATATTAGTTTTTTAAATATTAAAAAACATTTGGATCAATAAAATCACATTTTCCTTGAGATCTGTGTTTGAAAAGAAATTTTGCGACTGACTTTTCAATTTGCTGTCATGACGACAGCTTATTAGCTCTATTGTGATCATAGAGCAAAAAGAATACGCTTGATTTACTATTTACTATTTAGTTATGTTCAACTTAAAGGGATATACTTTCCAAGATCTATAGCAATTTTATTTTTTTTCTACCAGCACCAACCAAGTAGGTCTAGAATAGTGAATCAATATAGTAATGACGATAGGATTCTCTTTAGCATTCCAAGGAGTGGTATTGCAGTATATTGAAGAAATTATCAAACTTTTCCAAATTTTTGAAAAATTGTTCCAGTACTGGGAAATGAACTCTAATTCAATTTTTCTGTTACATTTTAAATTTATGGTGGAAAGGAATGTCTTGTATTTGAAAGGAAGGGAATGTGAAATAATATTGATGTTGTAACTAAATAAAATCAGATTATGGAACTAATTGAAAAATGCGCCAGTAAAGCTGAAATTTCAATAAAGTTAGCATGCCACAAAATTCAAGGAAATTATATTTGTTGAAACAGATAATATGGCAAAGAACCCCATTTTAAGGCATTGATTGATGGAGGGAACAGACTATAGGTAAAAGCAAGTCAACCATGGCTTATTGTATATTTCTGAGGCATTACAGTTTTTGTTGCTAGAAGAGATTTATGAGGTTCTTATAGTCTTATAACTCCAAACTGATTATGTCTTATGCTGTAAGATAAGATGAGACAACGGTACTTTTCCTGAAATCTTTATTACAGATGATTATTCAACAGATAATCCACACACCTTTGTAGACCTTATGTCTACAAAAATCCCCTTCTGACACCTGGGTTCACTTTTAGGTCCAAATCATGCCTACTGAACTGAAAAGTAAATTTTAACGTAAAAACCAAAATCGAAGCGGGACACTTGTAAAGCCTTAAGACTTACCTCTCCTAGAATAATATTCTTGGTAGTTGAAGCAAGAAATGACAACCAGATTAACTGCTTTTGAGCTTAGTCTATGAACTCAGCCTAGGCAAACATATTTTCCAGGACAAGTTCACAGCACACAAATTGCTGACTTAGAATAACAACACAACTTCAATGTCAGACAAGTTAAAAAGTTAAGGACTACATGGATGGTATTTTTATTTCAGGATATAGGGTGGTGTATTTATGCAAAGAGAAATGTTTCTAGCAAAACACTAAAAAGCCATGTTTATATATATCTTTTAGATGCTTTGCTGAGTTGAAACATGTTTGAGCATGCACAAAATCTTTTGCAAAATGTTCAATGACTTTTTAACGACAAACTATGAATTAACTGACCACAACTTCAGGCAGAGTAGAGGGCTCAGGTCCCTGGTTTTCATGACTGTCTAGAGGTTGAGTGGGCGGCGGACGACAAGTCAGCTGTTGTCTGGACAACGAGGTTACATTGCAATCAGCATTGCCGATCTTCACCTTCACATCTGCCTCCTGTGATGCTCTGTCCAAGTGCTGGCCCTGCACAAGAGATATTTCAGGTGAGGACTTACAGTATATAAACTGTCACTCATGGATTATCCATGAGACTTCCCAGCTCTCTTTACATTACCACACAGTCATTGAAGAACAATGATAACTTTTTTCAACAGGTAAAAGATTTTACACTAAGGAAATAGATGGTTGAAACGTGCAAACTGTGAAATACAAAAACTAATTTATTTTTGATTACAGAAAATGATAAATAACAACTACAGTACAGTTATTGTTTGTGCGCAAGTAAATCACCAGTTTTTAAACAATATGAAAGACACTGTTTTAACTTTGAAATATACTTATGTAGAATAGAATGTACAATAACACCAAGTACAAACTTATATTCTTTGAAAAGGCTTGTGCGTTAATAGTTATGCAAAATGGCTGGTGCAAGAACCTCAACAACTCATGCATTAGTCTTAATTTCTTCAATAATAACGCTACAATATGAGAGATTATTTGGTATTGGGCTGTCAATTTAAATCGTTGGAGAACAATTAGTAATTCATCTTACATTGAAATGGTTGACATCAAGGACAAAAGTAGAAAACAAAAGAAACTCATGCATTAGACTCCGACTTCAATTAACCATTTTCCTGACTAATTGTCTTGTATGAAACTTTCTATTTAAATTCATAAACCAACAGTTTGTGTTAAATCTTACATTGATGGTTAGGTAGTCACTCTTGTAGTACTTGACTTCCTCATCGAACTTGTCGTACAAGGGGTTGGGGAAGAGCAGGAAGGGTGGGAAGCCGTGTCTCGTGAGGTTTTGTACTCCGGCCACATTGTCCATCTTGAACCCATACTCCAGCTTCTCTGGGTGTTCAGCATCCAACTCAGCATCACCGATGTCTATCTCTGGGGAGTAGCACTTCATCAGCGAATTGCTCCTTACGTTGCATTTCTGGAAAATACATAAAGTAGTTAGTTATCAATAACATAACACATTTAATAACATTTGTATTTTATGATTCCTTGTTTCTTGTAAGAGAACAATTTTTAGATTGAAAGCAAAATTATTGTACCTGAAAAGTAGATAATAGTGGTTTCCTCAAATAATACAATAAACTTATTAATCTTTTGTAATATTTTGTACATTTGATTTTTCAAACTATCTCAATAAATTTATAAATCTAAATAGAAATATTTACAAAATTGAACATCTAATCTGTTCAAAGATATTACACTCACTTACACTAACTACAAAAAGTCGCAAGGGACATAAACTGAAAAATCATGTGATTAACTCCAACAAGTATTTAGCTACTAACGGTGTATTTACTTATCCCTGATAAATATAATAACTTAAAAATTCACTAAACCACGCTACAAAAGTGTTTTTTTACCGTAGTTCCACAAAAAGGTGAATTATAAAAAAAAATTGGTTTCAATGAGCATATTGATGCTATATTGTCTGCATGAGATAGAACCTTAGTGTCTAAAATAAGTTACATTGTTTTCAAAGAACAATGACAATTTTAACTTCTACAAAAGATAGAAAACCCTGATATAAAACATAACAAAATTTTTAACACCTGTTGTCAATATGTTAATTAATACAATCATACTCTGTTTATAAAAGTCTCACATGACAAACATTCAGAGGCAACAAAACTACTACCATTAATCAAAAGTCAATACTGCACCTATTGATAATGGCTATTGCTAAAATGTTTCAGTACTTACACTGAGGAACATTTTCCCGTTGTAGTAGACATACATCTGAGGGTTTTGGATGTAGGCTAGGTTCTTCCCAGTCACTGTAATGAGGATTCCACCGGCAGGGATACCCTTTGGAATCTTCAGCTGTAGAAGAAAATCAGTCATAAGTAATGAACAATTTCATACTTCAAGAGAATCCAGAAAAAAATTATTAAAATATTTTAGTTAATTGTTTGAGTATATGATTCAAATTGAAAACCCACACAAACAATAATTTAGTTTCATCAAAAAATGTATACACATAAATCCAGGTTGGGTTTGACTTTAATTTACTTGTACACTTGAACCTTGGGTAGGATGAATCACACAAAAGGGTGAGCTAGTACAGGAAAAGAACGAACATTACTGATTGTTGTTAATTGCTTAAAAATAAACCGACATGGCCACAAAAACTCTGGCCACTATTGACTGATCTTAATAACCTCTAACTAGAGTCATCACACTTGTATAACTCCTTTTCTTACATAAGTTGTAGCTAAAAGATTACATACCTGACTCGCGACTCCAGACTCGGCAGATTCTATGGTGGGATCCTCAACGTACTCAAACAGCTCCTTGTCATATGAACGATCTCCTTTGTCAAACTTCATTTTGACCTTCCCACTGCGCTGCCGATCTGATGCACTTGTGATGCACAAGGCTTCAGTAGGACTGGTAGATATTATATCACAGGGCAGAGTGTCAATGAAAGCCTGTATGCGGGAGCCAGCATTCATGTAGTTGCCCTGGATCTTCAACAAGGTTCCTCCTGATCTAGGGCCGAACTTTGGTGAGATAGACTCGAGGCTAGGATCAACAAACTCGTACGTTTGTTTGCTCTCGCCTCGGAAATCCGCTACCCTCACCACCACAGGTCCTCTCCGCATCACATTGGTTCCTGGACTGTCCACTCGGCAGACAATCTTCTTTGTCTTCTCGTAAAGTTCTTCGTACGGTTCACACGGCAAGCCAGCAACTTCTACTCCACCGTAAACATCTCGGAAGGTTTTACCCAAGTTGATACCTTTGGGCATAACACAGTCAATATAAGAAAAAATCCAATTAAACATAACAAACAGTTTACATTAACATTTAATTAATTATTAAGGTTGAACATTTAAAATCTTCCATTCAAATTAAATGTATTGAGTATCAACAAGACCTCCTTATATAGAGAGTTTGAAATGTCAGCCAATTACAAACTAGTCACCTTGATTTTTTTTATTATTAAAGAGGTTGGCAGTCTCTTTTAATCTTGCAATTTCCCTGTTTAGGCTTCGGACCTGAGCGTAAAACATATCTGCAAGCTAAGGTCTTGTACACAGTACAAGAATAAACTGTACTCTTCAAAACTTAGTGACGGGACCAGGAAACGAGCCCACGTCATTAGTGTTATGTAGTAAGGCGTCATACTACTGACTGCGCCATCACCTACTGCCTACCTTGAATAGTAATGTTGGTGCCTCCCTCCCAAGGTCCCAGTTGAGGGTAGAAAGTGGTGACCTCAGGGTTGGGACAAGTGTGGTTGCGGTCCAACCAGATACCTCCACCTCTATCACACTGCTCCGAGACTTCACACCGGTCAGACACCTGGCACCAACCACAGGCAAACTTCTCTGCCAGTGCCAGACACATACCACAATTGTCTGCCATCTCTCGACACCGGTATATCACCACTGGTGAAAAATATAATATTGTTATTAGTTTACGTAATTGTCCAATGAACAGTAAATATAGAAGTCATACAACATTTAGTTCTGGCTGGTATGTATAAATTATAGTCATAATAAACAACACAGTGATATGTCCTCTACTGATTAGATAAGCATAAAGAATGAGGATAAACAATTATTGCAACTATAGCATGGTTTCTATATAACAGAAAAAATACTGTTATTGATTCATTTCCTTAATGAAAATCATTATTAGATCACAAATATCTTCTGCTATCTGTATTGGAACTATTCTATTGTTCTTTTTAAAATAAAAGTTTTCTGTGTATTTTAGCCCTGCATATTATAGTCCACAAAGGCCTTGAGCTCGAGCATTAAACTGATAAAGCAAACCTAGGGATGAGCCGGTATGGTAGCCTACAAGAACGGACTGTACTGATAAATTTTAGTGGAGGTACCATGACGCAAGCCCTTGACATCAATGCATTGGATTTGAAGTCCGTTGTACAACCAACTGAGACACCGACTCACCAAATGTGGTAATTTGCAAAATGGATGTTTTTTTTCTACCATGCTTTCATGATGAAGTATTTGCAACAAAACATGTCACCATATTACACTGCTGCAATTGTCAGAGTTTAAACTACCCCTGTATTAAGGTGCACTATCTAATACAATTCTTGACCAAGTGACCCATGTAAAATACAAATCTGTAAACATTCTTCAATAATCAAATTTAGTTTGTAAGTGAAACCAGCTTACCGTGAATGTTATCTGGGTTATCCAAGGGCTTAGAACCTCCCCAAATAACAGCAAAAGTAGCAGTGATATTAGGGGCTTTGGAGGTGTATGAGAACTCCATGCTTTCACAGTAGATAGTGTCTCCTAGCAGATTGGCGTTGACACTAGTGACACGTCCCTCGATGTTGAACTGGCAAACAAACCTCGTCTGGACGATGAATTGCTGCACAAAAGATTACGTATTAATCAGAATCTAGATGTAATGGTGAACATAAGTGAATATGAGTAAAGGCCAGAATAACAAAATGACTTGTTAATTTCCTCAAATCCACAGCTATTTGGTGACAAATAAATGATTCTGGACTATCCCAATTATAAAATTGTTGACAATCGAGTGTAACACATAGAAAAACAATACAAACATTGTTATTGTTATTAACAATTTTCTCTGATAAAGAAAAAATAATAAGGTCTTCAATACTTTTTAAACGGAAACAATACCCTTTAAGGTATGGACTTTCTAGGAATATTGAAAGTTACAATCACTGCGAAAGTGTGTTTTCTGCTATACAGCCCAGACCCCATCTGGATGGTAAACAAGTAAAAACTAATTAGATAAATTTTTCAAGAAAAAGTATACAAGATGTGGTACTAGACTAGCCGAATGATTTAAACAATTCACATAGATTAAAATATGTAACAGATTACCGCAAACGTCAATGAACCCCATTATTCTGGCTGAATTGATTTATTTTCCTTGAGTTGCAAAATATATATAATTTTATCCCTTTAAATGTCTTAAGCCAATTATATTATCATTACAACAAACTCAAAAGCAGTATGAATAACTGAAGTACAACAGCTTAAACCTGTGCCTGACCTGTGTTGTAATCTATAAAAAAAAAAAAACTAGAACTATCTACCAGTGTAATCAGTTTTTTAGTGTTGTTATTGCCAAGTCCTTAGGTACGATTGTTGGCCAAGGCCAATGGAAAAAACATGTTGTCTGTGTGGCCAGCAACGTGAGTCAAGTGCTTAGACCCCATCCCATACATTATCTTTTGCAACTCAAGAAATGTTAATTTCTACGCAGATATTAGTGTTTGATTTATTATGAATTTCAAAACTAAACAGGCATTTAAATTCTTTTTTATTTATTTGCAAAGTTGCTCTTTGATTTGAGCATTTTGAGTCTGTATAAAAGTAAAAATGATTATTGCTATTGTTAAACATTTTTAGTCTAAACTGTCTAAAATACAAACTTTACCATTTTTCAAAAATACATACCCCAATAATATGCACTTTGACCCTGAGACTTTTCTTCAGACCAGAAGATACAAGAATCTCTGTTGATCCCCCTGTGGTTGCGTTGATCGTAGGGCAGAAACCTGGTCCGCTTCTATAACTCGGTCCTATCCTCTGTAACATTACAAAAATTAGAAATAATTCTTTACTGAATACTGGATCCAAAAGAATACTAAAATTTTCATGGTGTAGCTTTGTTTAACTTCTAAAAGACCACAAAGCTTTAAACCAGTAAATATTTCTTTAACACGTTCAGTGCGGCAGGCATTCCAACAGGCGCTCGCCAATGGCGGCGAGGCCCGGGCGAAGCCCCAGCGCGGCACCGTAACAGCGAACGCAATTGGCATTCAAATATTTCAATCTGACGAATAACAAAAAAGGCAGGTGATTGTACTACGTTACTCCCGAGATTGGACGTAGTTCCCTAAAACACCCAAAGGTAGCAGCACTGCCTGGATCAGAAAGTCAGTGGCCTTGTAATATGTCTTGAAGAGAGAAAACCCCCAAAACCGGGACAAAAGCATTGTCAGACGGGATTTTACGGGAAATTTTAGTACCAACCTACACCAAAATAAAGCTCACATTCTAAGCTATAGGCTAGCAACGGTTTTAACGTTCCCCGGCAATGGCTGAGCTCATACTGAACTATTGTAGTGGGGATTGCGCAACTACATCAATTGATGTAGTCAGCACTGAACGTGTTAACATATGTTGTATAAGAATATATACTTACACTAACGCCAGTGACAAGAATGTCGTTGCGACAGTTCTCCGCGGTGTCGTGGGTACAGCGATGGCCGTCCACACACCAATCACAGGGGAAAGATGAGGACACACACTGCGTACACGAACTGTACGTGTTGCAGTCGAAGAATGTGAAGTTTGTTGCCACAAAGTCCGGTCCATTTGTCATCCTCACTGACAATTTGGCAGTGAAGTGATCTGTAAAGGTAGGTAAACAAAATGTATAAAAGTAACCAATATCTTCATATTCCAACTAAAAATGCTTCCAAAGGTTTGGCAATTCAAAGTATACTATGCCAATTAGTTATCTATGGATAGAGTGTAATAAAAGTCATAGACAGACTAGACATGAGAGTATTAATTGAAATATTATTCACTTTCATAACAAAATATTCAGTTAGGAGGGATTTCTGGAGTCGCAGCCTTTGGTTTAAAATCGAAAGGGAGGAAACTGAATAAACTATAAACAAGCAATTCTGTAGATTGAATCTTTAGCGCCATAGAAAGCAGCAGTAAGAGTACTTTACGCAACGATTGCGTAAAGATAGTGTTAACGTCACAAGTAGAAAATTTGAGGTACGAGCCTTGGCGAGTGCCTTAATAACTTCTACGAGTGTCGTTAACACTATATACACGAGTTGTATACACTACTTTACCTACGACAGTGTTTTCATTACTAAAAATCACTACTAATTACTTCTAAGAGAGGTAATGTTTTCGTTTATAACCTCTCATTGCCACTGACAGTGATGCAACGAAACATTGTACCAAACACTAATTTACTCAACAATTAACTTCGTCTCGACTCTTTATATTTTCTTTTAAAAATGATTTGAAGGTAATACACAAACATATTGGACCAGACAAATAAAAAATGTGATGCTTAGTTTCTAATTTAAGGTTATAAGTTTTACACCAGACCAAAATACCACAGTTGAATAAAAGAGAATATCTTACGTTGTCCTGGAGGTATGGACGGCAGAAGGTCAGTGCGAGGGGTCGTGCAGTTGACACCGTAAGGTTTACGAGTGGCATTGGTTGTCAAGGATTTGTCCAAAGCTGTAAATGCACACTGGAACTGCCCCGACAACGTAGGCAAGTTGTCTATCACCAGCTCAAGCTGTAAAATAGATAAAATATAGTGAGAAACATCCACTAATAGATCTGAATATGTTTGTATATGAGCTTTAATAAAACCTTTTTGCTTACAGAACCAGTAGAACCTTCTAAGATCAAAGGGAAGCCAATAGTAGTGTATAGCCACGTATTCAGTTTTTTAAGAGACAGAATCAAACTATCCTCGCCTAGAACAGGGGTAATGTACGAGAGTCCCTCTAGAACCTTAAGTAGGGGAATGTTTTAGTACCGTTTATAAAGCTTTTGGTTGTATTTAGCCCCATAGAAGATTTTACGATGAATTGAGATTTTAAGAGGACCACCTTCTCTAGGACTACGGTAAAACCGTGTATTACAGTTGGCTGGAAAAATACCTACATAAAATGTATTAAAATCTACTGGTTTTTTTCAACATGTAATTCAATTTACACCTTGTGATAGCTGTTCATGTATGAATTTCAAATACCGGTACACTTATTATTATGGCAATAAATTGTTTATTGGTTGATTTATTTTTCACCCAATTTGAAACAAAAAAAGTGTAAGTTGCCATGGACATGGCATAGGTCCAGATTTACCACAGAGAACAAACAGCTGTAGCATAGTGGTACCAGCTGTTACCATGGGCTGTAGCAGTAGCCGTTGTAGACAAACAATATTTTGATGCATTGTGATTTTGTGTGTATTGTGATGATTTAATTAAATGTAGTTTCCAATTATTAGTAATGCCGGAACTCAAAAAGGTTAGTACAATGTGAATAACTGTGACATAGTAAAATTGTAGATAATCTAACCTCAGTTTGTAAAAATTCAATGTATAAAATTTGTTGATACAGTTAAGAAACGCAAACTTTACTCAATGTAGTGCTGATTTTTCCATTAACATGTAAAGAACTTTAACACAAATACGGTATTACACACTATCTGTGATAATTAGCAACATGTGAGCGACCCTGGTGACAAACTGCAGAATTTTGTAGCTTCAATATTATTATAGAAAATTGACTTTGCCTGAGACTGTGACAAGTGACAAGTGAATCACGCACATTGGATGACCGGAATGCTAGTTAGTACCCATTCAACCCATCAGTCAGCAACATAGCCTTGAATATTATGGGGAAAAAAGTCATATAACTCTTCGACAACGTACTTTAGGGTTATGGTGTTCCAAATTTAGTATATATATATAAGAAATCAAAGAAAAATGTTATATATTATGTTTCAGTTTTAATTTTTGGTCCTTTTCCTTGTTAACCTGGCATTTCTCAAACTGTCCACCCTTCTGGCCCATATTACGCTGAGTTTCAGGTCTGTGTTATATAAGAAATTTCTAGTTCAGTCACTTTAGATTAGCTCTACCAAGGTTTGACTGTATGACTGTATACTGACCGTCCTAGCTGTTGTGCGCTGCAGTTGGTTGGGAGTGACAGTAGTGATGGTAGTACATCGACCACTCTTGTATGATATCCAGTACAATACGTCCTTGGCTGCGTCTTGACAATCACTGCGTAGACTGCATCTGTAACAAGGGATAACAATATGAGCAACCAACAGACAACATAAACTATACTGATACTTACATTAGATGAATTTTATATCTATGTAATACCAAGAAGTATTGCATTTGTATCCAAACCAGTCAATAATAAAGTTATAAATATATTCATCCAATGAGTATTTAGGTTTACTTCTATGATGTACAGATTTTATTTTTAAATTCTAAAATCATACATACAATGAATTAAATAAATTTTCTTAGTTTTAAAACAAATTTTTATAAACAAGCAATCTACTGGGATTAATTTATTCAACAGGAACAAAAAATGTTAAACATTGCTCAGCATTTAGTACTTTCAAACTAATTTTAAATATTTAAATGGTAAAAAATATTCTTGAGTGTTTAACATTTTGAGGGAAAAGTCATAACAGGATTTTTCTCTTTTTCATCAGTCTGATCAGGCTGGTTTGTTACTCATTCAAATAGACGTTACTTTTAGGTGTTTGACGCAAATTCAATCAAAATAAGAAGGTTACAAAATTTACCAAAATCTTTGCTAAGGCTGGGCCACACTTATCCAGCATTTCACCTGAAGCAAAATGTTGCACAACAATTTTCTTGAAGCATTCTGTTTCTTTGCTTCTCCAGTGTACGGGAGGTTCAAGCATGATTCAGCATACACCAACCATCAACAAGCATTGTTTTAGCATTGTATTGTTTTAACATGTGTGACAAGGAAGTCAACGTAGCTGTTGCTGTATGACAGTTTTTGCAAATGCTGGACTAAATAGAAAGAAAACATCGGGTAAACCCAATCAATCTTGGTAGACAATTAGGCTTTCCTCGCAGAAATAAAATCACACCCAGGAAAATTTTACAATTATTGTCGAATAATTGCTATAGCCTACTATTTTTTTTTTAAGGGTTTTAAATACCGTAAGTGATATGGTAAGAAATTATTATTAGATGATGTTGTGATGGTTATAAATGATGAACTGTGTAACCTTGGTAATTTCTTAATTATATTACTACTTAGAATGTGGGCTAAATGACAATCAAAGAGGTAGAAAGAAAAATTAAACAACAATATTGTTCAGTGGCAATTCAAAAGGTCAATTCCATTTTGAGAGCCACTAAGTTTTTCTAGTTAGAAGGGATTTGGTGCATGTGCAGAACGTTTGGTTCCTTGTTGCATCAAACATTGTGCTGTATCTGATCCATTTGTCGAGCGGCTGCTCAAATGTTTGAAGGCATTGCGAGGCGCCTCGCAACGTTTGCTTGATCAGTGTGCGGCCTCCCATTGAAATACATTGGGCGCTCGTACCCAGCAAAACATTTTGCCTCGCAACACTTGCTTCAGGTAAATGCTGCATCAGTGTGCGGCCGGCCTAAGTGTTCCTTTTACCTGGAAACCCTAAAACTAAAAAGAACATTGGTCCCAGATCTAGGTTGCACTATGTAGACTACAGTAATGGTTGATTTCTTATAGAATTTCCTTAACACTGTTACCAGTTATATTAAATTCAGATCCCCTTGAAAATTATTTAGCAGAAATACGTTTCAAAGTGTTTAAGTATAAAAAAACAATATTATTTTTTATTTTGGTTTCATAAATAAGAAATAATAGGTGTCAATAATTTATCAAAACATATAATCTCTAGTAAACTGCATTGTGTGGAAACAGCAAACTAAAGGCTATCTTTTGTTGTTCACGTCATAAAAAGACAATATGTTTGATTTAAAATAAAGTAATTTTAATACCACAGCTTTTTTCACTTTTACAAACACAGCTTTGTATACATTATTTCTTTGTTATAATGGCAGCAGTGATAATGGCTGGGCAGTTAGACAAATCAATGAAAGTGAGTCATGACTTTTTACATTGCATGTCCCATTAGGTTCAGCCATTACTGTCAATGGCTCTAATGTGATATTTTATTTGTTTATAAATTGCATACAACAAAAATGACTAGCTCTATCTATCGGGCTCAATTAAAGAAGGCATAATCTTCATGTTGTTGGACTTGTTTTTCTAATAAGTTTTCTATGTACAGATAAGATTTACGATTTAAAACAAGAGAATAAACTAACCACGATGAATTATATTAGTGCGAAAAGAACAAATTTTTGTTTGACATTTCATTTGGCTACTTAAACGAAATTATGGAAAAACAGGTGAGTATAAAACACGAAAGATATTGAACACATGAACGAATACAGACAAACTATTTGTCGTTTATTAAAAGCATTGGCTGACATTGTTCCCAATCTTGTCTAAGTGTTAACTCTAGATTTCAAAGTATTTACACCCAAAAACTACTTTCAAAAACACATAAAAATTTATAAATAATGTTGAAGCACACATTTATATTACAGGTGATTCCATTTAACTTCATGAAACTAATTTAGATTATAGACATTACCAAAATCATACTGGATAAGTCAACACCATAAACACATTCACTGCTATATAATGACAGCAGGGTCAGGATAGGAAAAACCAAAGCACTACGCATGACTGAGCTTAGGATATTATTACAATCGCTTGAACGTAGGGACATATTATGGAAATTCATTGACTCCCATATACTTTTTCCCCCTTTTTTTTCCTAGGACGCTAGGCACGAGCCCGGAATTGTTTTTCACATTACTTCAGGCTAGACCTAGGGGTTACGGCATAATCACTTAGATAAAATCCATTGGTGATTTGGCAGGATTTGAACCCAGAGTCCAGCGCTCAAACCACTAGACCAGCTCGCTCCCCAGACCTATTATACTAGAGTTAAATATTACTCAATGCAGAGAAAACGCTACTATAGCAGTGTTTGGATAGCCAAAAGAGGGGAACTACAGGAATTTTTTTGAACTTAACTACATCGGAAATCCTTTTCAGGCTTAGTGCTGATATAAATGTACTAATATTAAATGCAGCACAGTCCAACACAAAACCTTTTAACTTTGAGGATATGGTACATTGCTAGCACGATGGGTACCAGGCCGTGGGCCACAGCCAATGGGACAAAGAACAGCAATTGGCTAAACAATTCACTGATGTAAAGTATAAATAAGAGTAAGGATGGTATAGCTCTGACGTGGTTACCACTCCAAGCTTACAGTGCCAAAGGAGTTCCATGTGTTAGTATCTGGTAAACTTACTTGTTTTCTAGAGAGCACCACCCACAGTAGGGGTCTTTAGCTCCTAGGCAATCCCAGCAAGTCTTGTAAACATTGCACTCTTGCACTTTCACCTTGGACACCTGCAATCATTGTCACTTGTGAGGAACCATGTAAACATCGGGATGGTTGTGACTCTCAGGTTAGACAAAGGAAAAGCAATGTGGTTCCTTTTCTAATATTAAATTTAACACATATTTAATGGGGATGTACGGTTGACTATCTATACTTTTTTTTATGTAAAAATATATTTAGCAAAACTGGACATATTGGACTTATTTCAAATTAATAATTGTGTTTTTTTTTATTTTTTTTATTCAGAGTTAAAATCTATGAACCATGTCACTAAAAGATAAAGAAATCTAGACAATGTGCAGTGGGGAGTTTAATTGATACTATCATACTATACATAGGAATGATTAAGTAAGCCTATTTTCTCAAAGTTGGACATACAAAATACATTCATACATTACAAAACTAAACAAATATAATTATCAATAAGCTATGTTTGTTCAGAATCTTTCAAGACCCTCTATCTTGTTCTTGGACTTCCTATTTGGGTTAATATTTCTAAGAAAGGGTTGAATATTTAAAAGATTATTTAGGTGGAAAATAATGGTTCAGGTGTTTTAATTTGCAAGTAAAACATCATATCACTTATGTTTCTGATGCAAGTTTTGATCAAACTTAGAAATTAATGAGGTATTTATCCAGACATTAATCAGTTGAACAGTTGGACCAGTACCTTTCTCTCCGTCATGACGTAAAGATGCATGAGTTGGTTGTCAAATCGCAGGTCCTGATTGACGGCTGAATTTTCCACCACCAAGAGATCACCATACTCTTGGGCTGCCTTGGAGCTCTCCACTACGATCTGTCAAAACATACAAACATTTAGTACAAAGCAGTATACCCTGTCCCAACTGGTCCTAGATCAACAGCCTAGGCTTGGGCAATAGATGTAAGTTTAACCAACCTATGTTTTGAGTTTTTTAAGTAACTGACCTTATTTTCAGGTATAAAGACATTTCCCGCCCTTAAGAATAAGTATAAAGATGCCTTTTTGCTGTTGGAAAGGTTTACATACAAGGCATTGTGAGGAAATGTCTTTAAACTGAGATATTAGATTAAATTTAATTCTTTATAAAGACACAAATATAACAAATAGAATTCAAGTAATTTTTAATTTTATTTACAGCAGTAATAACATTTAAAAGTATCTGTAAAAGTTTTGTTTTGTTTTGAACAATACAGGAAAATTAGAAGCAGAAAAAAATCAATGATTATTTGAAGTAATTCTTATATTTACATAGTTTCCTATTACAATCAATCTTTTAGGTATTTAACCTAGGCTCGCCTCGGTCCCGTGAGGGTTCGTTAAACGAGAGTGTATTGTAATGTATTTGAAATTTTTAATGTATAATACATAAACACACCTATCAGAACCTAATTATTTGTTTGGAGACGTTCTAAAATATGGATTTATAAAGTAAAATAAAATAATTAAAAGTTAAGATTTCATTTTGGTAATTGAAAAGAAAAATGTTTCACCATAGCTGAAACAAATATTTATTTTCTCCGTGTGATACAACAAAGCTACTCGTGTGATACATCAGCACGATTAGTTTATACTCAGCAACGTGCCGCTGTGCCAGCAGCAGCACAACACTCCGAAGGTCTTTGCCCTTGGAATGTGGTGAAGCAGAGGTAGATACAAACTGCAGCACGACTGCCCTTGCCAGAGATCAGTGCAGCTTGATTGAAGTCTTGGCTCAGAACCAAGCGTCAATCCAGTTCACCCGACTTTGCACTTTTTCCACTTTTTGCTTACTTATTTGCACAGTATTCGTGATTGACTTAAACGGATTGTGTCAAAGAGGATCAAACGTTTAAGGTATGTGTCATATTTATCTTTCAAAATTTAGTGGGATTCTAAAACTAATGAGGTGTTGGGAGTTTGTTACAATATTGTTGATATCAGATCGGTTAGTAATAGCAATAATATGTGTGTTGTACTGAACAGTTATGTAAATATTTTAAAACTAATTATAAATTTATATGTTTTAATATAGTAACTTCAGCTATTTTTCATCAGCTTAAATATCAAGGTACCCTTTTAGAATATTTTTAAAGTAACTCCAAATCTGTAAAAAGAAAATCAAGAAGAATTTGAATCAATGTTTTCTCTGGAAGTCCCTAAATCATAATTTTTCTCCGATTAAAAAATTAAGACATAAGACCCAGTCGACTTTGTAATAAACTTGAAACTCAAGAGTTTTTAAAGAAAATTTAGTAAGTTACCCACAGTATAGTTTCTTTAGTGGTAGGCTATGTAATTTTCACCCCGATATGGTAACGTAGCAAATATTAACTGGACCCTTTTCAAAGTTTGATGCCAAAAGGAACGGTAATACAACCATTTTTTTTTTTTTAGCAAAAGGTCTTAGGATCACTGGTATTAAAAAAAAAATCAAATTTACATAAAACATTAGGATATAATTTTTTTATTTAAGTCATACACGACGACAATAATTAAAAAAAGCTCTGAAAAATGTTAAAACTGGGCCGGGAAGTGTAACTAACACCACAATATCTTATGTCAATGACTTTTATAATGAATGGATAAAATTTAATACTATGATAAAAGTTAAACTCAGTTCAATACCTTTTTGAGATGCCCCTTGCTGGTGCCTACAAACACAACCGTGTAGTCGCCGGTAGATGTTGCGGCTATGGCGGTGAGGTGGACGTTGAACACCAACACAGGAACAGCTGCCATTGGAGTCTCTCCTCCAAGGGGGGTGTTGACATCGAGGCCACAGAAGTCTTCGCCAATGGTCTGCAACTTCTGTAACACCAACATTCAACATGAAGCTAGACATAAATAACAAAAATCTACAAAATTTAATGTCAATGAGTGTCCTCCACCTGACAATTTTTTCAATGACCCTCCTTCAAATCCAAGGACATGAAATTATCAAATAGTTAAATTTATTGGTAATTGTTGGGATTTTAACCCGGGGTCGCTGGAACCGAAGCCCTACACTCTACCACTAGACCAGCAAGGTGAAACAGAATACTGTACTAAGAGCGAGGTAATTACGATTGATTGGACAAACTCATAGGACCAGGACTGGGAACTCACAAAATAGCTTCTGTGAGGGTTATTTAGTGGGAATTTGTGCAAATGCAAATCACCACACCAACAACTCACTGATAATATGTGGTACATGATAACTCAACAACTACTTACTTATATCTGACAACATACATACTTGAACAACTTGATGATATCTGATATTATGGATGACACTTGGCATTCGATGTAAAATTTATTGAACAGAATAGTGGTGATGTATCTTCTAAATCAAAGATCAAACAAATGTCAAAATTGACCAGATTAGTCAAGGTGATGCCAACCTATATACAATATTATGTCAACCTATATACAATATTTGAAACATTCATCAAACAACAATCAAACCATTGTATGGCATAGGTGGTTAGAAACACTTGTAATCCTGCAATATTTGAATTACTATTGAAATTACAATAATTATTACATACATTATCATGCTTTATCATTCCTCCTATTTATGGCAAAAGCTAGTATCAATTAATCAATTAATCAATAAATATATTTCCTTTCATATGCAAAAAACACAAACAAGTAATAAAAAATACACCAAAGTAGTGTCAAATTGTTGTTAGGTGCTTAAGTTGTTTGATAGGATGAGCAGCTTAATTCTGTGAAATGGATAAACCAATCTGAGCAAGAGGATTCAATGAAGTGAGAACATCCTTTGAGAAGACACATATCAATTATTACATCCATACAAACAACTGGCCATCAAAGATCCTTTGCTGCAATTTCAAAGACTTTCCGGGAAATCACAAATCTTACTCCTTCATGCTATTTTCAAATACATAAACAGTTACCAGAAGAAAATTGTCTAAGTAAATCACTTTTTCACATGAAAAGAACATGTCAAACAAAATCCATAACTTCTTAAAGGTTGCGTATAGAAATTTGGCTTTAAAGACACTTCACATTGTGAGCAACGTTACTATTAATGTTATTGTCATTATTATTATTATTGTTGTTGTTGTTAATTGTTCGCAATTTACTAAATAATTTTAATCAGCTATTTAAATAATCAACGAAATATAGAAATAACTTTTTAAACGAGTAAATTATTTCTTAAAACAAAAAATTGTAAGTAGGCACATGTAAGATATAATAACAACATAAATACTTCAAAACTGTTACTAATTTTGTTTGCTAAATTAGATCTTAAAATTGATTTTTAATATAAGACTTACTGTAGGATATCTTGTTTGGTTACCAGTGTTATCGTTTTTAATTGTTATCATCTTAACAATATGTCATTCTTTCTACTTTTGTATTAAGCCAACTCCATCTTCTACCATAAGAATTTTATTTACACATGGATGTATTGTCTTATAATTGAGGTTATCTGTAGGAATAAATAAATGTATGCAAAAGTTGACTACTGGAGCTTAAATAACCTAATAATGAGAGTAAATGAGTCCAAAGAGTGGTAATAAATTTGATTATACTTTTGCTGTGGAGTTTAGTAACTTTACTAACAAGTTTGCTAACAGAACAAGCAATGTCTCCACTACAAAACTACAGCTCTAATCTCATCAGACCCTAGCTGTTGTTAAGCAATGAGATAGAACCCGGGATTAGTCTAAGTGCTACTAGTAGATTGGAAAGTATGGTAACAAAAGACAACTCAAGTCGGACTAAGTTTGTAATGCATTGACAACTTGGTAATTTTAGTGTCTAGAAAAAAAAAACAGATTGGCTTTGATTACTTATTATGATAAAGTTTTAACTATTGGAAATATTTGAAAACTATAACAAGTTTACTTTTTAATTTATATAGTTATAAACATTGTACATTCAAGAATGCGATCTTAAGACATATTTGTTGCAAGACAGGCGTGTTTTAGAAAGGACACTGGAAAGCTAGGTTAAAGGAGTAGACAGTTAGTAGTAGTAGTAGTAGTAGTAGTAGTGACTATTCCTTTAATCTATGGTACAACTTCTCACAGTTTGTTTAGACACTATCCTTGTTTTATTGGCTGTTCTTTTTGGTTACGTGAATTTGAAATTGACGTTTTAGTGAATTTTTACCATGAGTTGTAAATTAATTATGATTAAAATTAAGTTAGAATAAAGTTAAAGTTAATAATTTACTAAATTATATGGTGCTTAATAAACTAAAAGAAATGCTATATGCTTACATGGTATCTTTTTAAATATCTTAAAATAGAAACTCAGAGTTGCCTTTGCTATGTAATTTAAATGAGAATTTACGCTTGAGCATAAATATTATCAATTATTTATTTGGATTTTACTTATAAAACATTGTATATTGAAATGAAGTCACATTAAGAAAAGGAAACAAAGCATAAACTTAAAAGGACAACAAATGTTAAAGGGCTCACAAGACCTAAAAGTAAGACATGGTTCCTAAACACTCTCTAAAGAAAACTTTTATATTTTAGGATGAATAAAAATGGAAGCTTCTTGAGTTGGCCCATACCCAAGCTTTGGATCCGACATGTGATGGAATTTTGAAACTTATGAGGAAAGTTTGGGTAGACCAGTGAGCTTTTGTGAAAGATAGACTGCCTGTTTGTATACTTAAGAAATTGAAAGCTTTAAAAATTGTACTAACAAATTTATACTTTATTGCAAAACATTTATTAGTAAAATATAATTAAATCATCTAATTTTTGGACAAAAATTGTTTTAAAATAAAATATTGCGATTCACAATCGTTCAATAATATAAGTTGGATACACTTTCAGCTTTGAAGAGTCCTCAATAAAGCTGTGGGTCTAATTTATTTTAAAAGATTATTTAAATTTCTAAAAGAAATTTTAAATAATTAAGTTATAATATAAACTTGAATACTATAAGAAGGGATGGTACAGATAATAAACAACCAATCGCTACAATAGCAATCCAACAATCGAGTTGCTGAATATTTGATTGTTTTTGTGGGTGTGGGCGCTTAATGGAGAAGTTGTTAATGAACAATCAGCTCAACAAGGGATGAGAAGTGCGCTTTGCTGTAAGGTGACCATTTTGAATAACTTGCAGTGACAGGGTCTGTGAGTGATTCGGCAAAACCTCAACCTACAATGGTCTCCAACTCAAACCTTTCCTCTTCAGTCAACTTATTCTTTAGTATCCAATAATGGTAGAGTCAGAGTCATATCTAATACTATCAACAAATGTTATGATTTTTTTTATATAACCTTTCATCGTAATGATGACTTCTAAGACTGGGCAGTTTATATCAATAAGTTTTTGTATACGTGGAAACAAGGAAAAGCTATAAATGCTGAGGTTACACAGTCATTCATTCCACTTCCCTTTCTAATTTATCATTCTCAGTATCTGGGTGTGATTCGCTGTTACTAAAGGTAAATTATTGTCAACAAATAATATAACACATAGTGTACATTCCATGACAAAGTAATGGTACATTTATCACCATGGGTTTTGCAATAAAACTCTTTCCATATAGGGGATTGCAAATATTTCCAAATCAAAAATATGATCAAATGTATGACTGAAATGTTTAATTGATATTTATTGAGTTAAGTAAAAAATGAATTGTTTATTTTTTGTTTGTTTTTTTATGAGATGGTAAAATTACAACCGAATTCATGTCTGCATTTGACTGGAATTATACACTTTTGCGAGTTCAAAATCACCTAACGTAACTTTAAAAACTAAATTGAATCTATGATTTGACAAAAAAGTAAATACTATCAATAACTAATCAGGACAAATCAGTAAAATTAGCCAAAGACAAATTGTTAATAGTGTTGAAATACAGATTAGATAACTACTTGTTTACTTGTTTATCATAAAACATATGTCACATTAATAGGCTATGTGAGAAAAAAACAACCTCCCTAACTCAGCGTACATATAACATTGTTAACCTGAAATAGTACATTTCACAATAAGTCCCGAAAGAGGCATTTTCCGTATCACCTTCAAATTTCACGTGCGAGGCGAAGCCATTTTAGCGTGGGAATAATGGGGCAAGAGCCAGAAATCACTTTTCGGTACAAGTTATGCGGTGCACTTATCACGTCGCAAAGATAACAACATAGAAAGTAACAGACCTCAGTAAGATCTACTGTATTCTATTTTCTAACGGACATTATTTAGATATAAAAATAAAAGCAAAACTATAGCAATATAATTAGAGGTTCAAGGATATTATGTTTATTTTGCAGTAAACATGCACTACAAGCTAAAAACTCAGCAAAACTAGTTTATGCCTATTTCTGGCCACATTTGTACTGTAAGTAAAACCAGCTGATTTCAAATATCGAAATAAATTGTAAACAAACGCTAGCGCTCGTAGTGGGTAAATGGAGAACTGATAGACAGCAAGGGAAAGTAAATTCAGAGCAAGAGGAAAAGAGGAAATCAGCTGATCACTTGCTCTAAGCTCGGTAAACAATTACAGTACTTTTGTTGATATCAGCTGTTTTCGAAAATAGCTACTTTCAGTATGGAGTGGTGAGCACTTTATTTTTGTATACAAACTATTCATATCCGTATGTTGTATGTTCATTACCGTATGTTGTATGTTCATATTCGTTGTATGTTTTTCAAAACATAGTTCAACCTAAACAATTTTATAATACAAATATTGACAGTATGTAATGTTGTATAGTATGTCTGTTAGTCTGTTATTAGTGAGGCAATTTGTATGATTTTAATCCATCAACTACTGCTAGTAAAAATATTGATACATTGGAAAATAAGAGTTACGTAAACATGAA